AGTAGAGGGGGAGGATGACCTCCCTCGACCTGCTGGCCACACTTTTCCTGATGCACCCCAGGATGCCATTCGCCTTCTTGGCCGCCAGGGCACATTGCTGGCTCATGGCCAACCTGTTGTCCACCAGGACTCCCAGGTCCCTCTCCACAGAGCTGCTCTCCAGGAGGTCAGCCCCCAACCTGTACTGGTGCATGGGGTTATTCCTCCCCAGATGCAGTACCCTACACTTACCCTTGTTGAATTACATGAGGTTTATCTCTGCCCAACTCTCCAGCCTGTCCAGGTCATGCTGTAAGGCGGCACAGCCTTCTGGTGTGTCAGCCACTCCTCCCAGTTTTGTGTCATCAGCAAACTTGCTGATGGTACACTCTATCCCTTCATCCAGGTCATTGATGAATATATTGAACAGGACTAGACCCAGCACTGACCCCTGAGGGACACCACTTGTTACTGAAGGACAACAACAAAGGATCTGAATTGCGATCAATCAAATCTTCCTGAGAATTAGATAAGTAAAACACCTATTTTATGAATTCCAGTAAGACAAAGGTAAAAGACTGAATTCACACAACTCTGTAACTTAAGGAAATATCTCTGTGTATGCACCTAAAAATTTAGAGGGACAACTGAGATAAAGAGAGACTAAGATGTGTGGGGCTGTTCCAGATGTAGTTTGACTGGACCTTACGCTTTACCATTGCATTTCTACACCTCGGCATGCACGTCTATACTGAATACTTACTTACATGCTCCCTTTTCTGGGATGCAGCTTAATTCTGCTAAAATACTACGGTACATGAATGAAAAGCATTATTGATCATAAAGTACATGTATGGTATATACTGTCATATCGCGCATCACTTAAGTACAAGCAAAGCAAATAAGTTACAAAGAGAGAAAATATAACAAATAAAGAACAAATTCCAACATTTAAATTAAGGCAGGTATAATAGTAAGATAGAGCCGCTCGGAAATATTTACCGAGGAGAGAGGCTCCACAGGTTCCTCCATTTTGGCAGTAGTTGTAGCAATGGTTAGTTTCACACCTTTCGCCAGAGTAACTGGGCCAGCAGTGACATCGAGGATCGCCCTTCTCGTTTATAATGCACTTTCCTCCGTTTTCACAGGTTAATTTACAGGAATCATCTGCAGCAAGAGCACACACAGAATTGGTTTCAACCATTTCACGTCACTGTTAAAGATGCAAACACGTTCTTTTTTGCCAGAGCTACAGAGCTCTATCAATGGGGGGAAAAATACCACTTTTCAAAATGGAGAAAATAAACTATCACTTCTGTGATACCATTCTATGATTCTGTTTCCACAGTTCTAGAAAAAAAAGACGCACTTAGGAGACTGTAAGCCCTCACTGAGAGCTGGAGAGGTGGTGGGGGCGGCGCTGGCCTGTACAGCAGCAGCTATGCTTCATCCAAATGGTGCCACAGGAAAGCTGACCTCCTTAGGATGTAAGGTAGTAATGGCAGTATGAGTTCTTGCTTGAAACTAGCATTCTCAGTTAGATTAAGAAATGAAAAAATGAATGGTGGTTTCACCTGGGAGATCTCAGAAAACTTCCCAGCCATTTTCTGGTGACTTCAGCCTTTTGCCGGTTGATTTTTTTGGATCTGTCTTCTACTCCCTCTATTAATGAACACCCTTCTAAACTAAACCCTATCCAAAAATATTTAAAAGGAAATCATTCAGCCTTTAAATCCTCCTCAGAAATTGATATTTGCATACTAACTTGTTACTCCTAAACCAAGTTTTCTGATGTATTCTTATTCTCGTCTGGTCAGTCTGTGAAATCCTTGAGAAGAGACACTGCCTGCTGCTCTGCATTCATCGAGTGCTTATGGTAGCAGTGCCACCGTCTTAGCGGTGAGGTACAAGGTGACACAAATTCTGATCAGGCCACGTTCAATCTTTCTATAAAGCTGTTTTGCAATTAGAAGTGTTCTTATCTTGGAAACACTTTGAAACATAAATCTCTATTCATTTCAGTGAATGAGATATTAAATCATTCAATGATACCAACAAGAAATTAATTATAGACTAGCATGCATACCATGCTCAAACATCCAAATAATTGTAATCCTAAAGAAACCAACAAGCACCTTTCCAGCCCAAAACATGCTTTCAGCAATAAGACCTTTCATTTCTCACATAGCAAAACAAATCCTGTGAAGCCAGACTGCTGCCTTACTAATCTGGCATCTGAACCTACATGGCTTGTAACAAGAGGGATACCACTAGCACTGCGAACTCTTCAGATGTTTTGCTGATTTAATCCATTGTAGTTTAACAACTAATGAGAGTCAACGTTTCCATTTAATAGAATCATAGAATAGTTTGGGTTGGAAGGGACCTTCAAGATCATCCAGTTCCAACCCCCCTGACATGGGCAGGGACACCTCCCCCCAGCCCAGGTTGCTCCAAGCCCCATCCAGCCTGGCCTTGAACACCTCCAGGGATGGGGCAGCCACAGCTTCCCTGGGCAACCTGGGCCAGTGCCTCACCACCATCACAGTAAAGAATTTCTTCCTGATATCTAATTTAAATCTACCCTCCTCCAGTTTAAAAGCATTACCCCTCATCCTATCGCTACACTCCGTGATAAAGAGGTCTAACATTGATAGACACGGGCACACCAACTTTTTTGACGTTTAAATAAATACACTGCGTTATAAGTGTAGAATTTAGGAATGACGGATATCCTCTAACTGAACAGCTCTCTCCAGCAGGGACTCTGCAGAGTCTAGTGACATAACTGTGCTTATGCGCTTACGCGGCAGCCTTTTCTTTGGATGCACCCTCTCCCACCCATGGTCCGCCCCTCCTCAGCAGGGTCGGGCTGCCTCTGTTAGCAGCCAGAGCTGAGATGATGCAGATATGCAACCTGGGATCAAACCTATTTAAACAAAACTTCTGGGAACTGACCATCTTTCAGGCAACTGCACCTCTCAAATGAAGCTTAAACCAGACAACAAATCTAAAAGTTATTGGGGGGGACTGACTGACACATCATTATTTCAGATGTTTTACACCAAAATATGAAGTACCGTATGCACTTAAATTTTTTGTATCCACTCTGGACACATACATCTACTGTAACAAAGCTACTTTGTATTTGGGAGTTTGAGGGTGCCTCAGTGTTTTATTTATTTGGGTGGTTCATTAAATCCTTTGATGTTCCATGAACTATTCTTCAGTTACTCATTATAGAAGTTGTTTAAATGGATAATGTAGCATATCTTATTGGAGAGAAGGTCTATTTTTGTTTTGCTTATGTTTTACTTATCATTAGTCATGAGTTTATAGAGCAGAACTTGGTAAAAAAGGAATAAATACCACTAAAGTACAGACAAGTGCTCATTTTTATGAACCTTTCTTATAGCACATTAAAAACATGTTATATTTCTCTTCTAGAGCAACTCCCCAGAATTAAGATACAAAATTTGAAAAAAATATGGAAACTACGACAGACTATGAATTCAAGAGAAAATGAAAGTATCAAAAGGCATATTTAGAACTATAAAACACGAACTACAAACCTGAAAGTTACCCTAACCACACCAAGAAATACATGCCCTCATATTTTCAGGAAAATATACCAAACCAAAAATTGCCCACAATAATGATTTTCTAATCCAGTTGTCTTTCAAAGAATGGGGCAGTCATGTCTTACACGTTTAAAATGCAACATATGTTATAACTTTATACAACGGTCAACCAGGAAGGTTCCTGAACAAACATAAAAGTTTGTAATATTTGGTGTCATCATAGGATTATTAAAGTTTGCTACTTTTGCTCCATTTCAGATTCAAGAGTTTCAACACAAATCTAGTATGAAACAGAGAAAAGTTACTACAACAATTACAGACTTTAAATAAACTAAGAAATAGGATTGAAAGATGTAATGGATAAGCCAGTTTTAAAATACTGTGTTAGACTTTAACAATATAGGGGCTTAAATGCTGCTGCTTTGCTGTCTGAAGGTAAATACAAGAATCGAATTACTCTTGCTGATTCACATCAGCTGAGTACAAAAGGGGAACAGATGCCTTTGTGTGAGAGACAGGAGCAGAACAGTCCCACGGGAGAATACAGGAAGACAAAGAATACGGGAGAAAAACACAGAAGAATTGTTATAAAAAGCTGAATACTCTTTATTTGAATTACTGAATAAAGACGTCTGAAGAAGAGCTGGGAACAGCTCCAGTAAGAACCCAATATTGGAACAAAGTTAGGGAAAAAAAAAAATCAGAAAAAAAAATCTCTCTGGAGTCAATTCAATACTAGTCTGAGCTTGCTGAAATGACAGAAGTAAATAATTTCACTTGTTATTCCACTCCTTGTCTAGCTACTGGAGCTCTCTAACATGAAAGAAAGGAAAGGGTTACAGGTCCTGTAATTTTATATATTTGTTCCTAGCCTGGTTATTTAGTCTTCTGCTGCCTTGATTTGCCCATTTCAATCTTAATATATCTTTCATAAAGAACCAAATAAATTTGATTTGCACTTTTTCTTATGCTTTTCTTCCTGTTATGACTGTTTGACACAAACATTAATGGACTTATGGCTTATTTGCTCCATCTTTGACTCTTTCCTTTAACTAAAAGTAATAGGAAAACCTTACACGGAAGAAACTGATAAAGCAGCAAAACAAAGCTCTGTGAACTCTACTGGTATTTTTTCCTTCACTCGTTCAATTTTTTTATATTCCATGCCTGTCCCCCAATCACACACATGCACATCTTTTATTGGCATTTCTAGAACAACCTTTTCTCTCTTGAGAAAAATGCATCTGACTTTTTGCTGGTTTTTCCCTTTGAAATATCCACTGGTTTCCAGACTAGGCATTTAAACGGAGAGATGACGCTATAGAGCACAAGGTTCATGAACTACATTCTTTGGGACAGAACAGTTTCCCTCCCCACAGTGGAAAATCCTCATCTCATGGGGCAGAAAGGTATTAGCTCTTGCCTGTCCTTCAGTCCAGGGTGTAGCTCAGCTTTTACTATTAAAGACAGAGTACAGAGTTCTAATCTTACGGTAAGGTTTTAAAAATCTTCCTGCTCCTCCAGATTAGGGTCTTACTATCTGCCAGTTTTTCGTTGGCTGAAATTTGACAGAACAAGTTGTAATCCCCAATTTTTTTCTGAATGTGTAAGACAGACCCTCCTTTTTTTTTTCCCCCTTCACTTTTCTTTTTGCTTATGTTTAAAATCTGTTTGCTATACAACTTTAAATGGAAGAGAAGGGCTAAGAAGAGGATGCACAGTGAGAAAGAACTAACCAACACCTGCTGTAATGTAACCCATTTTCTTCTGCTCTGGGAAATACCAGTCCCAATGGTAACCCCTTTGTAAATACAGAAGACACTGCTGTAAACAGAAGATTCTTCTCAAATAGAAGTAGGATTCTGTATTTGACCTGGTTCTACTCGACAGCTAAAAAAGCCCAGAAAGCAGGGTAGAAATCAAGAAGATAGCGTGGACTGAACTGCCATAGCTTTTGCTAGTGCAGCTCCCTGAGGCAGCCTCTGTGGGTGGAAGAGAAGGTATATAGGGATTAACCTTTACATCCCCAACCAGAGCACTTGGTCGCCTGCAATCTCTGTGCACACTGGGCAAGTCCCCACAGAAATGTGCTGAAGGAAACCCCATGATAAATTACATGTTTCATCTCTGTTCAGAAGCAACATCAGATCTGAGTCTTCATAATTTTTCTCAGCCTTTTCATCCAGCCAAGAGAGCACAAATATTCCCTTCTTAAAATGGAAGTGATAAACGTGCAGCTCCAGAATAGTGAGCTCTTGGAAGCGTTCATTGCTCTTGCTCATTCAGCTGTGCTACACACCGTGTTCCTCCAGTGCAAGTCTCTGTGTTTTCATCCTCTTGGTACATTTTTAGCTTCATTGTGCTACAGACAATTAGATACAATAAACCTAATGGATGCAAATCCAGTGGTCTCTTTTAGGAAAATGAAGCGGTACTCTACCCATTTGAAAAGTAAAGGGTAGCTTCTAAACTGAAAAAGTCAGGCCTGTTATAGTCAGTAAATAAACCACAAAAGAACTGTGCTCTGTCAATCATAATCATCTAGGGAGAAATGAGGTTGAAGCTTATCGAAGAACACACAGGAACTCGCTTTCATTTTGTTATAAAAACATTCTGAATGATATAACACACATATGTTGTAATAACCCCGGCTTGAAAAAGCCAAATCAAACCCGAAAGCTGTTTCTCATCAGTTGTGGGAGATGCTGGTGAAACAGCTGTCTGAAGCAATCTGGATTCAGTCTTACAGAAAGCCACTGAGGATTCAATAGAATTCCTCACATAGGACTCGTGAAGAAAAATCAACTCAATGGATCAAGCCAGTAGTAATATTATGCAGAGTTTCAAGAATTACCTCAATTTCTTTTGGTAAAAACCAAAAACAAATCCAAAAACCAACAACAATCCAATGAACCAGAATCTGAGGCAGTTTTTCAGTCACAAGAAACCGAGCAAGACTGAGATTACCTCCCAGTCACCAACCTTGAGGCAGACTGACTGATGAGATATCATACAAAGCTTGTGAGGCGTCTTTGCAATAGTCTTGCAAAAAAATTACCAAAAATGAAGAATGGCATACTAATGTTGAAAATAACCATTAATTGCTGGAAGGTGTTTTTCACAAGGATGGAGACATATGTATTGTCAAAACAGAATCTTCAAACACAGACTCTCCCAGGAGCACTACTGAAGATGGATGGGAATTGGAGATGGCTGTCCTGTTTTGACTCTGTCGAGTTATGGAAATCTACCACTGGCTTCCTTACTACATTTTAAAAGGACCAGAGCACTTAAAGACACTAAAAAGTATTATCAGTGTTCAATATACTGCTGTTTGTAACTTGAATTATATGCTATTCAAAAAGTAAAGTTTAGTAACACTAGTTGTTGATATCCACAATTAGTACTTATTTGTGAAACTAAAAGTCTTCTTACGTGACTTGAAAGAGGTACTGTGCAAGCACAAAACAACCAGTACGCCTCACTTCTATTGCTACATGAATGACGCCCACTAAAAGAGATTTAAAAGGTTGAGCTTTCAGATCGGTAAATTAGTGGTACTGTATTTTTGAACACAAAATATAATGTAAGTAAATCACTGTAACCTGTTTACTATACAGCTATTAAATTGTGATTAAACCAGTAACAAAACCACATGAATACAGCAGATAAAAAATGTTTCACAGATACTCATGTCTCAAATTAAAATCTTTCGGATTTTATTCTCTTATGGACAAACTAGAAGACCACCAAAATCAACAGGAATATTTCAACTGACTTTTAATATGGATTTTATTGCAGATCAACAAAAAAAATATATTACTATATAACCCCCCTTTCTATTTATAACATGTCAATCTTCTACAACATATAGATTTTGACAGTTATGCAAGGCAGGAATTGCTGTTTTGGGTTACTGACATTCATAACTATGCCAAAAATATTCTGAGACAATGAAGAGAACATAATGCTAGGTTTAAGCAAGCTGAATGTATGCAGTTTGGAATATTTCATACACATTTTCTAGCTTTTCATCAGAAAAGGCAAGGAAGACTACAGCTCCTATTTTTTTTTTTTTCATTCCATACCGTATAACTTCCTAAAGGAAAAGAACCTGGTTTAGAACTTGACTTCCAATAAGAAAAGACATTTACTGATAATCTACACAATGTCTTTTGCTTGCAGGCTATTAGTGACCTATTAACAGCAAGTGGGTTGTCAGCCAGCCATTAATTATTAACCTGAATTAATTCAAGATGCTTCTCTTGAGGTCAACTCTGATCTTTCCAGGAATCTCTGCTGATCCTTGGAAGCCTAAGTGGAGTGTCAGCATGAGACAAACATTTAACATCCACTTCATACTTTTTTAAAAAAAAGTCAAACCAGTGCAAAAACATACACTTGTTAGTGTGCTATGATACTGAGGCTTGTTTCAATTCATAATTTATAATCTGTGAGGCTAGAAAACCTGCAATCTCCTATTACAAAACTAAAATACAAGAAAAACAATGTACAAAAAAGCCTATGCTAGACATTATTTGAAATATAATTGGAATCAGAAAAGTAAGGAACACTTATTTAGCAGCCCTTTCAAAAGGCATAACAGATACTGCAGTTGTGGGAAGATACTCAAAATTACCAATATATTAAAAATGCTTCTCTAGGCATTTTCTGTCTATCCATAAAAATTTACAACCAGCAGTGAAATAACTTAAAATCCTCTTCAGATCTTTCTCTTATAAAAACAGACCTTCCTGAAAACTCTACCAGCACATAATCCTTTTCCCCCACTAGTAAAACAGTAACATTACTGAAATTCCAGGTGCAAATTACTACCGATCACCAGTGAAAAATCAATATTCTTTTACATGTCCTTTCTTCAACACCTAAGTAGTAACTATAGGTCATTTGATATAGTTTTAGGTGGTACTGTATCAGCAGAAAGTCTTGACAAGAGTCCATCTCAGAGGAACAAAGAGCTGATGCTTGGAGGGGCAGGGAGGGTGGGTGCTCTGTGAAGACAAAGGGTGTTCAGACCGATTTGTCTCAAGAGTTAGAAACCTCGTACAGTATGCTGATGTTTTCCATTTCATCTATTTCAGTGACATCACTTCTCCCCTAACTGTGGAAATTGTTGTAAAACAGCTGCAAACTACTTTATAGCTGTGTAACTATTATATAAATACACCCTGATAGGTATTCAGCTGAGGGGGTATAGTAATAAAGCGTTCATTTACTCTATTTTTGCTAGAGAATGGTGCAGTACATATAAAAGTTGGTACTGTAAATGCATTGCATTCAACGTACTCCCACATAAGCAAAGCCAATGAATGGGTTTGTTATTGAGAACAAGTTTTCTAATATTGTTTTAGTCTCTAAATTATTCCTAAATTTCTTGATACAGAAAGAGAAATATTTCTAGACAGGATAGCTTTATTAATACAACATCATAAACCACTCAAACACAGATGTGTTAATCCAGTATTTAAAGACTAGGCAGTATAAATCAGTGAGATTTTTCTCCATAGAATGATGACATTTCAGGCAAATTAAATTAATTGCTAAATTGAGCATTTGAAGTACTGAGGATCTCACCAAAATATGTATCGCTTACACATCTGAACCTGGACTCAAAGATTAGAAAAACATCCTAATGCATTCTGACTTCTCACACACATATGAAATCTTATTCTATGATTTCTGGAACCTTTTAAAATTCAAGCTGACTAGGAATTCATTCCAGCAGTATGACCACCTTAGGTTTGTCCTCAGTTAAAGTGGGAATAGTTTTAGAGTACTTAACAATATTCTTCTATGGAAAAGATTTTTCTCCCCTAAAATACAGCAAGAACTTAGCAGTTCTTTTACCATGAAGTCAGGTTTCTTGTGTCTTGATATTAGTCATTATAGATGTTACTGAAAGATATAATTTTAGATAAAAATATTTCAGTTGCTTTTTCTTTTTTTGCCTGTTACGTCAAAGTCATTATTATTTGCTATGTTGCTGTTACTGCTCTTTGACTATTGCTTCAGTCTAAGCAGAGGTGTTTCTTGATGGTCTTTAAAGTGTTGTGTTTTTTTTTCCTCCTGAATGGTTAATCTTTAATTTGGAATCCAAAATGCTTCAGAGCTTTTCAAATTTCTTTTGGTCAATATATACACGCTTTCATTTTTAAATATCATCTTGTATCAGTTCAGCTGAAAGCTCATTTATCATTTAGATGAATATAAACTTTTTTTTTTTTTTAAAATCAGGGATTTTGCTTCTTCATATTTTGTTTCCATTTCGGATAAGTTAATATGTATATTGAAAAACATCACAAAACTCTTGACTAGCAGACAGCCTAGCCTTTTGCAATGACAACAACTGACCAGTTGTTTATTTTCTGGTTCTCGTGCAGTTTTCAATACCTACCTAAGAGGCTCTGATCAATGCATGTTCCATTCACCAATGATTTTCCTTCTGGACAAGCACATGTTGCACCAGAAGGGTTGAGTAAACAAATGAATTCACATGTCAGGTCCAAGCATGGATTAGGCACTGTTTAAAAAGACAAAATATTAAAAATACTGATTTATTTTTTTTATTACAATGTGCTCTAGAATTAGGAAAAAATAAATAATCAGATATAAAAATTCTTATACATTTCCAGTTTCCAGGATATCAACAGCCCAAAGCCAGTGAACACACTCACTCAAATGGCAGTTCAGGACTCACACCAGGACAGAATTTATTCCCATAACAAAAAAATGCCTTGGTAATACGCAGTAAAACCCCTCATTTGGTTGTGGCTAGAGACATTTGCATTCAGCTCTCTTCTAATTTTTTTATACCTCATCTACAGTGCGGGTACACAAGGCAAGCGTTTGTCCAATGTCCTTCCAAAGGACAGAAAATGCATCAAAATTCTAAATTAAACTTATATAGGAAATGTGACTAAATCTATTTTCAGTTTATACAATTAGGCTCTGTTTTATACTTGTACAACTTGGTTATATTTTTTTTTCCCCCCTGAGGTGAACTCGCTCAATATTGAGTTTAAAGTAATTATGCTTACTCACAGTCCATTTGTTTGTAGCGGTGAAAAATCAAGGCACTTTTTGCTTTATCAACATCCACACTTAGATATTCTACGAGGCTCCTGCCAAATTTGTGTACTCTAAATGCACCATTTTTAGGACCTGCTCCATATATATAATCCTCAAAAACATCAATTCTATGTGGATGTAGTAAACCTTAAATAAAAAATAATAATTAATACAAATGTATATTCATATTCAAATAATAAACGTTGTTTTAATAATAACTTCAATTGCATTATTGCAACTGTCACCTAAAACTATTATTTTTCAGACAGCTTGTTTTGCACCCAGACAGTTTGCTTTTAAAAAAGCATCTTCTTAAAAGGAATTCTTCCCATTCTACAAGCAACTGAAATCACTAGCTTTGCATTAGCTTTCCACACAATTCAGCCTCAGAAACAGGTTGAATATTGAAAAGCAGGGAAATCCCACAGTAACAGTGAGCTAATTAGAACATACTTAGCAGCAACACTTTAGCTAGAAGTATGTGACAAGAAAGAAACAGATTATTTTGCTGTACATAAAAGAAACTATTCTGACAAAATGTTTCTTCGGCTCCTTCCTAACATGTTTGAAACGCTAGCTTTCATACAACACTTATTTTAATTCATAATTACAGTAAATTATTACAAAATGACATGCTAAGCCTCTATCAATTCCTCATTTTTAAGAGCTACGAGTGCCGATCAGGTCACATAGTTGGATTTCCTATGCACAACTGTCTGTAGAATTTCACACATTTTCCCCTGTAGCTTCTGACTAAAACTTCTTTGCCAGAGACGCACCTCTTCTTGATTTGAAGCCATAAAGAAACAGAACCTATCATTCCTTGTGATACTTTGTTCCTACCACTATCCCCATTAACTCTAAAAATGGTTTTATATTATATTTGCATTTATTCAGTTTCTTTCTACTGTTTTTTCCACTCTATCAATAATTACTACTCAGTATTTTATTTCTATACAAAGATTTATAAATTCAAATTCACTATTTTATGCTTGTTTAATTAAATGGGTCTAAGTTTTTAGTCTCATTGTAAAGCAATTTCTAAACTCTCCCAATTTTCTTTTGGTCCTATTTCTCTAATTTTTCCATAGTTACTAAAAGTGTCAACAGGAGACAAAAGGTGACATTGTATTACTGATCTTGTATTTCAGTATGAAATGTTACATATGGAATTGAAAAGGGTCTCTACATTCCACTTCCCCCTTTAGAAACCCCAAATTTGCTGCGTTTGGCACAGCATAGTACAGCCCTTCTGCGCTATAAAATACCTTGAAAGACATCACCTTATATGTAGCGATGTTGTGCCTTTTCTTCTCTTGAAGAACAACCTCACGTTTAGTCTTAAAATACAAATGACTATTGAGACACATTAAAACAAATGTAGAATACTCTGTCAGTCTTCGTACCAGCCACAAGGACTAGTGTAAGCACCGAGTATGTATTCTGTGATAGATTACAGCCCGGCCACCGGGAAATACTATAACCAAAGGATGCGCAGGCAACCTTATGAGGAGGAGTTACTGTCTTGTAAAATCTTTTGTCAGGCTTCTGCATGGTATGGTTCAGTGTTCCAGGAGGCTGTAGTCAGATCCCTGCATTCGAAGTGATCCTTTTTGAGATGACTGCTTCCACATGCATGGATCCAAATTGTGAAATACAGTGCTATTAAACCAGAATAAGATTATTTAAATCTGGTCCTGCTCAGTTTGGATTTTGGGAGATTTTTCCTAGTATCTTCCAGACCCCTCTGGTGAACTCCAGATCATTGGCTAAAACACTCAGTAGCACTACATGTAATATCATCCTGATGAAACCTCACTACCAATTGCCCACTGAGTAATTCCCCCAAAAAGCCTACTTTCACATTTTTGAATTTTTTTAATGTTGCCTCTCTTTTCTGCTCAGATTTCATAAATTGTTACATATATTGTCAAATTGTTAAAAAGCCAACATGCAATTCTACAAAAAAAAAAAAGTTTGTTTAACCAGAATCTCTTTCCTTATAAAAGTAACTCTCCTCATTCACATTCTGTTAGCAGAATTCTGTCATTACTTACTGACCTGAAAGCCAAATCCATTACTTTTTCCAGAACTGATTCAGGTCAACTGTTCTATAAACTATAACATTCCTGTGCTAAGCAGACAGGTCTAATTTCTAACTAGTCAAGGTCCTCTTGTCAGTATGTAAGTCCAAGTGAAGCCAAGCATAAATATTAATCACGGTATTTGATAATACCTAAGCTAACAATTAGATAACAGTCTTAGAAATTTGCACATACCACTAAATCATTGTTCCCCTAAAGTAACTTTATCAGACTATCCAAAAGCAAAAATTACCTAAAATATCTATTTGTTTAGCTAATATCTGAAACGTTATCTAACAAAAGCAATGAATATTACTTAATAATCACTGCTTTTTTGCTTACATAAGCAAAAAGTTTTCTGAATAGTGAGACTTCAGCCAAATAAATCAAAATAGAAATCACATTATAGAAAAGGTCTCCATACCTTGTTTAGTGCTCACAGACACAACTAAATCGGAACCATCGAAAAGAACACTGCCAATAACAGATAATTCAAAATCAGCCCAAAACAAACGCTGACTGAACTGATCAACTACGAGACCTACAAAGAAAACAAAGTTCAAATAGGTATACAAAACCTGGAAAAAAAATTGTATTTTTATGTAACTGCACATTTTTATATCATTCATATTCTTGTGAACACAATATATGGCACCAATGAAAAAACATGACTGGAAACCAAGGACAACAAAATATAACACCTTCCACTTAAACCTTCCCCTTGATGCAGATGTGGTTTTTTAGTTTCTTTAACTTACTCTTCCAAGGTCAGTACCTTTTCAAACCCATTATCCTCAGCAGGTAGGGATACATACCAGTTGGGAATTAAATACAGAATGTAATCCTGTAATTTGTTCTACCAACAAAAAAAAATAATCTATTATGTCAATAGATTTCTAAGCAGTAGCACCAGTGTGACCACGTGTTATAAACAAGGCATTCAAATTTCAGTCTTCCTCACCTCTTCTGTTACCACAAGTATACAACTGTGGGAGGTTTTTTTTGTTATCAGCAGTGCTTCACATGTAATTATTACAGAACTAAAAATCAGATTATTTTAGTTAAAATAGTGGTTCAAGACTTAAACAGCAATATTGACAGATGTCTATATTCGCTTATATATGAAAAGAAAACACAAGAGTAACTGAGAAGACAGATAACATTGTGACTACCCAGCCTCTGGGTAATAACTAAATAGTTAAATCAAGTAGTCCGTGTTTCATAGAGGATGATTAAATGATTAATGTGCCATTTTAGGTCATGTCAAAAGCTTCAGCCTGAAAAAATATTTGAACCATAAAATAATTTAATTCTAAGCTTTTGAAGTTGTGCTGTATTTTTAATAAGAATGGGGAAAAGTATTTTTCTTTCTATTTATGCAAGTAGGTAAGTCAGAAAAAATACATCAAAAGAAATTATACATAACAGCAAAAATTCTCCTCTTAAGGTCATAAATTAATCAGCTACAGATAGATGAGAGGAAGTGGAAGAAGTGTGATGCACAGACCAGTGAAATATGTTTACATTTGCAACTCCATTAAAAAAAAAAACAAAACAACAAACCTCTTTAAAAGAAACACTGGCATTCAGGCATACAGCTAAAGAGAATCACTTCTGGTAAAAGATAATCACAATGTGTCAACTCTGTGTGATACACAGTACCTGTAAGGGGGAATACTTTAGAAGCAGTCCCCAGTCTCCAGCTTTAAATTACTCTTTGCATTTTAGTAAGAACATTTAAATATCAAATAATAAATAAATAAATAAATAGCATTCTCAATGTATCTTTCACAGTATCAGAGATAACACAATGTGAAAAGTACTTATTTTTGGTTTTTACATACAGCGCTCCTGTGATAGTCATTTTTATGTAAATCCTGTGAATTCAAGCCCAAATGCTCAAAATTCTCACTCTCTCTTACATGAAATAGGAAAGGCATATTTAGTAATAAATTTAAGAGCAGTGGAACACTGATGTTTAGTAAAATCTTAAACTTAATCTAAACAATAGTAGCAAAGTCTCATTTGGGAGGAAATATTAAAGACTTGGACTTTTTCTTTGTCATCTCTCTACAAAGACTTGGATCTGTGTGAAATATCTGACAAAAAAATTAAAAGACTCCATAAACATCTACTTTCTACCATGAAGTAAAGGAAGAAAAGCACAGAAGGATGCCACAAAAGTGTTTTCAGGCAGTAGGGACAGGAAAATGCAATACTGTGGCAAGGTATTTGTCAAATTCCCTCTTTGCAGAGTCTGCTCATTTTTGGTAATTCTGCTAATTTTTTTAGTTTTCAGTTTATTCATCTTTACAAAGAGACAGAGGTCTGGTTAAATGTTTATATGAAACTTTTCTATATATAATATATACCAAGGAAATGTTTATGAAGAAGAGCTCTTGCAGTTCTGCTTCCGGTCAGGGGAAAAACTAAATACTTGCATTTTCAGATAAGTTTGATACCATTACTACCTACAAAATTCAATAATTTCACTAATCCAGTACTGATGGCCAAAAAACCAAAACAACTTTCAACGTCCTTTAATGCCCAAGGAAGTGGTGTCTGGCTCTGTAGGACATAACCTTGGCAATCAACCAAATTGACAAGGAGACAAAAAACCCACAAATCCAGCAATTAGAATTAAATCTAAAGATTTTTATATCTGATATGTTCACAATGTTTTATATAAAAAGTTCAGGAAAGAATATATAAAAACACTGATAAACATAAAATTCTGTTGTGTTTCGGTTATTATTACTATTGTGCTTCTTTCTTACCCAAGGAGCATAAGCTTCCTCGCCTCAGAACTTTCCATATCACACATGTAACTTCTTAAGTTGCTATATTTCAACCTAATCACGGCAATAAAGAAGAAGTGTTTCCTTTAAAGGATGAGCGTAATTTGCATATGCAAGACCATAAGCCCACCTTAGCTTGGGACTTAACAGTCTGTTAAAATATTATTACTTGTTGCTGTGACAGCGGCAGCTTCTGAAACGTTTAGACATTCAGATAGCACCCTCTTGAAAGACGCCTATGTTTCAATAGATATGCGTACCAAAGTTGGACAACCCCTAATTTGCAATGCAATAATAACAAATTATCATTGGAAGCCTGGAGCAACATCAAATATTGCTTGAGAAAATGGGTCATGAACAAATCATTTGTGGTTTCAAGACAGGATGCTGCTATTTAAGAGACACATTTCATTTTGGATTTATCATTTCCTTTGTCATAAAAATTACTTTTATCCCGCCAATGGAGTCTTAATGGTAATTCACAAGATCTCAACATTTACTGTCAAGCTTCAAGATAGTTCTTTAAAATACTGACATAATTAAGCTGGTTTTGAATACTTAAACCTTGTTTTATACTATTTTGCAGTGTATTCAGGAAAATAACTAGAATAGGCTCTGAGATTTCATACGCATTCTTAAAAAAAATGTGTCTCACCACTAACTGGCGTTCCCTTAATTGATTTTTGCTTTTTCGGTGCTATTGAAATCGTATTGTAACTGATTATGTATAGTCTTTTGGTACTGCTTTAAAAAAAATCATCATGTCAAGCTTTGTTACAGAAGTTTAAGTCATATTGAGATGTGTCATTTGAAAACAGAACTAAGAATTTTGATTAGTAACTGCATATGAATAACTAGAATACATATTTTTAAAAGGTCTTTGGTTTTTGGTTTGTTTTTTTTTTTTTTTCAAACTGAAAAACTGGAATTCAGCCAACAAATCTACACTGAGTTAGCAAGTGCCATGTAATTAGGAAAAATGGATAAACTGTATACCTGTAGGTCTTTGTAAATTCTTTTGAACCAATATCCTTCTCAGAGTACCATCCATAGATGATTCCTCTATGTGGGAGCGATCCCCAATAACTGTCCAGTACATCATCCTAAAACATTAAACATAAAAAACAAGCTGGATGCCCATACAGAACCTCAAAACACTTCGCTGATATCAAATTATTGTGAACTTTCCTACCTACCTGAAAGATGAGAGATAACTGATCCTGATTTATACACAGGTAAATTGAGCAGGAAAGTTCAGTAAATTATTTGGAAAAGTTTCAACACTTGTAGACATAATTTTATTTCTGTTACTCTACTTTGCATTTTTGATTGAATTTCCGAAACAGAGCAATGTTGAAACATACATACCCCTTTTTAGGATTTACAGCAATTGCATATGGTTCTCCTGCCATGCTTGTGAGGAGTCTCGTACAGTTAGGTCCGTTCAGTTGACCTACATTGACGGAGTACCTCAGACTAGTCCAATGAGTTGTATAGTAGCTGAACCAATGCATTCTGGAATGATCAGTCCAGTAAATATTTCCAGCAACCCAGTCAACAGCAATGCCCCTGGGCCTTTTGAATTCTGGACACTAAAAGGAACAGATGTTAAAGTCAGATTTATGGAAATGATCTTTCCCAGCAGCTGCATAGACACAGATTTATGTAACTTTTTACAGTTAAGTAACTTTTACCTTTAATGTGGCGAAATATTTAAAAACACTGCATTAGAATGACATAAATTCCACCTGTGGGTGATGAGCTCTAAGTGATCTGCTAACAGTTCCATTCAACGCAGAACAACTCAATGGTTCAAAACTCAAGTCTAGGCTACCTACATTAAGACAAAGGCACTTAGGCATGAACTACTTCAACTATTGACACTGAAGCAAATAATTGTTACATACTGTAATTCAAAAGGAAAGGAAAAGGAAGAATTAAGACTATACAGCTATTATATTCTATGCAGAACTATGGTATGATTTGTCATCCCAAGGCCCTCAGTGAAAATTGTGCTCGAGACCATCCTGGGATACGGCTGCTCAGCAGTCTGCTAAGGATAAATAAAATCACTGCATTTAGAAAACTGCATAAAATTACCTCTGCATTCTGACCAATACCAGTATGCAATTGTAAGGAAATTTTTAAATGTTTCTCCTCCCTTGCTGTTAACTGTTCCTGTGTTCCACCAACACTTAAAACTAGAGTTAGAATAATACCCAGCTTAACGTGTAAGAGAGTCTTAACTGATTATAAATTTGAGGTTATAAACTGTAGTATCTCTGTCACGATTTCACCGTTATCATTAAGGCCTAGATCCTAAAAAATGTTCCTAAGGATAGAAACTCATATTGCAAACAGGAGATACATACGAACAAGTTTCTCTACAGTTTACTAGAACTCCTGCAGAGAGGAGAAATATCTGTAAACTAGGACTACCCAACTATTTCTAACATGAATGCAGCATATCATAAAAAATTCAAGACCCACATGAGCTAAATACAGATGCAATTGTTTGCCTGTTTACCTATAATAACATCAAGTCAAATTATGAACAAAAAAGTCTATTCCTTGACAAATGCAGTAATGGAGTGCTACTAAGCTGCATAACTAAAAATCAGGAAAGAAAATCCTAAAATAACTTGTTTTCCTCAGGTGTCAGAGTTCCCTAATACCACAAGACATTTGTAGACTATTTTCATCATAAAATAAAGGTCATTCCATTCTCTAGGTGAAATAATAGGACTGCAAGGGTGAATTTAGATAGTTCATTGTTCATAAACCTTTAATTCTGCAAAAATGTCATAGAATGCATGTGCAAAAGACATTCAGAACCCTGACTTTCTATTTAGATGAGTATTAAAGCAGAAAAATCAATCACCACATTTAAAAAACAGTATTTCTTTAAAAACAGGGTCACAGTGATTCTTTTAAAGTTAAAATAATGTACTGTAATTTTTTGTTATGAAATGATGATATAGGCAGCATATGCTCACAGAAATACCACAAAAAATTTTTTTTTTTTTTTCCAAGAAATGTAGCATTTGCACGTAACAACCTCTTTTTTTTGTTTATTACATTATCCAAGGAACATTCACGTAAAGGACAAGATACCCAAAAATGTGAGTATTTGCAGATAAGCCTAATTGTATTTTTAATCCAAACTCCTTTTAATTCTGGCTAATATTCAGGCACCTGTGTCAAGAAGCCTCTCACCCCTGGAGATCTCCAGTCACTAATTTGGAGATTGCAAGGGTTAATGGCATTGTCCTACAAGGCTGGAACCAAATGTTCTTCTAAAAGGAGAGCAGCTATCATGGACAGCAGAGTCCCTTGCCTTTTTTTGGACTGTTTACAGTAAGACTGCTTCTTTTGGAACCCGGTAAGCACATGATGGGAGTTACCATGAGCTGGTGGTGATGGTTCCCCAGAAGCTGGTGGTAGAAGCAGATAAGACATAGGGGACGTCCTAAAAAGATTCTGGAATGAGGTTGGGTTGTTCACTAACTTGACCCTTTCCCATTCGTCTTAATTATACAGAAGTGAAATTCCAGTAATGCTGGGGTGCGTTTTAAGGATCAAATGAACAAGGAGATAACCAGAAAAAATAGAAAGCATCCACCTGGTACAAGAGATTAAAAAAGGGGAATAAAAACCACTAGCTGATGCTATGGCTGTGTAATTCTTAGTTGTGTTCATTAAGTTTCAGCCTAGCTACATCATATTGCTGATGTCTTATGCGTCTTCTGATACTGTCTAGGAAAATTACTGTAAATGAGCTTTTACCTAATAGCGTATTTGGATTATGTGAATTTTAAAGAATGATTTTGCATGCAGAATAAGGATGAAAATACAGTAACAAAATCACATTAATATTTTCTAGTCATTTTAACCCACTTTGATGCTATACAACGTACTACAACTTATTAGAAAAATTGGGGTTTGAAGACTAATTGCCTTTAATAGTACGGTAGTCTCTGCACAACTGCAGCCCGTGTCAGCTTGATGACTTTTCATCAGAACTACTGCCTATTGTAAAAAAAAAAAAAAAAAAAAAAGAAGCTGCAGTAACAGCTTGGATTTGGAAACCAGTTTGATATAAAGGTAAATTACAGACAAATTTTCACCCCCTAGACTTGAGTTTTGACTGGAGACAACATGTTACACATGCAGCAGGAACCCATCACGTTGCAACGCTTAGCATTTTAACACAGTAAGACTAAATTACAAATCTAATTTATATCATAAGCACATGTGAAACAATATTTTCCTCCATTTACTTTACAGATGGTTTTGGTATGGCATTGCTGTGGAATAAAGTAAATCAATGATCTATTGTTACTTAAAATATCTTAATTATCTAGGATATATCTATATATCTAATGATATATTATTAGAACAGAGAAAAAATGAGAAACAGTAATATTAAAAAACTTTTAGACTTTTACTTGTGGAAACAGAAAATTTTCTTCAACAGAGGAGCGATCCAGAAGGTGCAATGGTTCACCAAACCCCCATTTGCATTACGTAAGTTTGATCATTTAAAAATCCCAACCAGTTGATTCCAGAAAGAGAGGGTCTCCTAAGTACATACACTTCATCGACACAGAGATATAGCTTTAAGGTGAAACCATAAATTAGTGCTGTTTAGAGGTAACAGTCTAGAAATTGTTTCCATTCACACTGAGGCACTGAATCGCCCTGGGGCAAACGTTGGGAGTATATTGGTGGATATATCACAAGGGCGGTTAAGGGTCCTCGTTAAGCTCTCAGAACAGTGGGGCCGGAGCAAGGTGCTAATGTACTGACTGGATACATTACAAACCCTTTGTTGTTCTTCCTAGTACACGGTCCAATTATTTTAATGTTCGGCTTTGTGTCCTCTTCCATGAAAAACAGCACTTGAGTTTAAGTAGCAACTCACTCTGTGTTGAATATTCACCTCAGATAACTTGTATCTCTCTCTCCAAGGATTATGCCAGTAAACAGCTGTACTAGTTATCACCAATTCACTTATACCATCTTAACCTGACTGGAATGCAATCCTCTTCTGCATCTGTCAATAAACTCTGAAGAGTTGATATTTACTATTGCCTTTAACGCTTCAATTTGTACCAAGCTTAAACCTCTTTTCACAGAAAAATGTAAGAGATACTTAAAGCTGTTCTCTGAGGAAGGCTCTTGATATGCTAATTCCATGGAGCAATTGCAGTTGAGACTTTTTTTGCATTAATGTAATTACCTGCAAATGCAGGTGACTTTGTTCAAGCTTACTGTCCTGATTTGCATATCAAAGTCTAGATGTAAAAGTTTATATTATAACCTTTGAAAACTTATCCATTAAAAAACTTGGGTTAAAATTAAGGAATTCTCAAGCTTTTCAAAACCAAATTTAAGTGACAATATTAAAGCAACACTATAAAACCAATTAACCTACTGATCAGTTATATATAAGGCAGTAATATTTGAGTATTAATGAGATAATGCTGGGAAAATATTCTGAATAGTTTAGCACGATGAGAAGTAAATGTTTCACAAACACAAATGAAATACATCCAAGACACATTCAGATTCAGTCTGTGAATTTTCCGCATATAGATTTGTAAAAAAGCTTTGTACGGCTTGGACCAAGCATCTTCATGAGCACCAACCTGCACTGAAGGGACAGGGGAAAATGGTGCATAAAGAAAACCATAATTTTTTTCAATAATTTTGAATGAAGAGGAAGTGACTAGAAAGTATTCTTGCAGAATGGTGAAAGAGAGATACAAAAAGCAAAAAGTATTTCAGCACTTCAGAAAAATAACAGTACTTCTAGAACATTTTATCTTTATTATAAGTTCAAACAGGGAGACTATGTCAAATCAGCTATGAAAGTTCCAACCCCTGGACTATGAAGTCTCAAGGAAGCTTATTTTCAGTTTTATGGACCTGTAAGAAAATGTAGATCCATTAGAGAGATTGTGGGTCAGCAGACTACTCATCCTTTCAGAAGGCATCTGCATATCAACCAATAAGAGATAAAAAAAATAACAACAAAACCCCCAAACACTTGAGTTTCACAAGACTTTACAACTTTGTTACTTTTTGATAATGAACTCGATACAGAGATGTGCCTATCAGGATTTCTTAGGCACAGGTACCTGCCACATTTAAATGAGAAAAATGCCACGGTAGAATTAGTCCACATTTAGTTTCTCTAAGTATCTTTCCCCCAAACTCAAATGACAAACCTGACCTACTAGAAATGCTAGGAACAATTTTCTACTTTACATCTACTTTACATACACTTTCTCTGGACAAAATCTAGACCCTCTTCAGCTGGGCAGGTGGAAAGGTTGGTTTTAAACCACTCTTCCCATATATATGCCATCACAGACACGGGGTATCTTCAGCGTGCACCGTGTCTACATCCCCAGGCTTTTTGCCCTGCTGGCATCAAAGGTCAGGAATGTAATTCATGTGGAAAGGAAGTATCCATGGATGAAAGGTACTTAGACAGGGAACTATTGGAGAGGGTCCAGCGGAGGGCTACAAAGATGATCAAGGGAATGGAACACCTCTCCTATGAGGAAAGGCTGAGAGACCTGGGTCTGCGTAGCCTGGAGAAGAGAAGACTGAGAGGGGATCTCATCAATGCTTATAAGGGCGGGTGTCAAGAAGATGGGGCCAGACTCTTTTCAGTGATTCCCAGTGACAGGACAAGGGGCAACGGGCACAAACTGGAAATTCTGTCTCAACATGAGGAAAAACTTCTTTACTTTGGGGGTGGCAGAGCACGGGCACAGGCTGCCCAGAGAGGCGGGGGAGGCTCCTTCTCTGGACATATTCCAAACCCGCCTGGATACGTTCCTGTGCATCTGCTGTAGGTGACCCTGCTCTGGCAGGGGTTGGACTAGATGATCTCCGAAGGTCCCTTTCAACTCCGACCATTCTGTGATTAGTCTACTGTTGCTACTGCTGTTTATTCTACTGGGTATTGAAAATCATTCATGTGATGTAAGATCATCCCTGTTACCTCCCCTAAGTTTAAGGAAACAGCCAGACAGATGTTATTTCTAACCTGATTTATTACTGGCCAAGAAAAATCTAAAACATCTCCTCTGCCATCACATTTAATAGAAGTAAAAAAAAAAAATAAAATAAAATCTAAACTTAGATTATTATAGAAACACCATCGTAAAGATCACATTGTTATCTTCAGTTCAGCACTAACACTTCCTTGAGAATTTTGTAGAAATATATTATGCAAAGTAAGTATCAACCTGCATTTATTTTATTTTCAAGTAAAGAGCACTTGAAATTACCCTAGGTTATAAAAATCCACATTTCTGTTGTAAAGGGCAAAACTACATTTATGCTTATTCAAAGAAGATACTATGCAGTTCAACAGAGAAAGGAACATATACTTGTTCTAATTCTTAAATGTTTGTCATAGCTTTGCCATTATTGTTTATATGGTCACTATAGAAATCAAACTTCTCTTTGGCTTTTTGACATTTTCTGTTTTCCAAGGATTTGAAATTCATGTCTGTCTTTAAACCATGTGTTGCTTATATATGTCTATTATTATATCCTATACTTTCTCTCTTAAAATAAAAGGTCTTGACAGTATACAATCTTTACAAGCCTCTAACATACTGGTTATTTCTCTGTAGAAAAATTTTAAAATACTATAGTTGTGTTCTCTTAGAGACTCGACCAAGTCTGCCAGAGTCTCGAATGAAAAGGCATTAGTATACATATATACCATTTGAATAAAATCATTCTCAGATAGACATTTTAATTTTCTAAATCAGCCCACGTTACGACAGACAATCAGAGCAGAAAAGTAAATCAAAAGAAATTTGTATCATGTAATCTTTAATTTTGATCACTTACTATCAAGCCACTGTTACTTTGCCTTCTCTCTCTGTCGTGAAGTTTTCTGTAGAAAATCCCTCCTGGATTAAATTGAGTACTCCAAACAATCATGTCCCCTTGAAAATATGCATCCATTCCAGTTATCCTTGAATTATGTTCAATATGTGATATTTGCTGATGAACATCACTGTAGTTGAATGGATATGCAAAACCCAGGATGTCAGTGTCATTAGCAACATAGAGAACTTGATCTTCAGAGCCTAGGGATTATTATAATGAAACAAAAATAAGGTAAATGTCAACAAATGCAAAAATCAGTGTTTTTCACTCAAGTAGCTTTTAGGTGTTTATCTGATATAATTTCTTATGTTAAAATTATTTTCTGATTGTTGAAGACTGCAAAAACACTCACACTCTGGGCAATAAATGCAACTCTTCATACTCTGATACCAATATATATTACATCAATGAGCTCTCCAAGCTGACACTGTGACACCTGACACTATATTTTACAGAGTATGTAACATAAGAATTGGAACACTTTAAGCAGTATACAAAAATAGGGGATATTATGCATTAAGCCCATATTTTTATATAATCAAATTACATAAAGATAAATATAAATTAGTAATTGATATTTACATAATTATATATATTAACAATAATGTATATATTTATATTTTAAACTACATATTTTTATATGCATGTTGTGCTTACAGGGTCCTAAATGTATATATGAAAGGCACACAAAGTTGCCAATAAGCGTTGTTTTAAATCGCTTCATTGGAAATTAGAAATGAAGCGACCCTATCTTTAGTGAAGGCAGTGAAGTTTTGCAATTGACTGCAACATGAGAAAACTGGACCAAAGCTGCTACAGAACATGTGCAGTTGAGTCCTCTATCTCGTCATTTCAGATAGTGAACATTTATGGATACTTGTGAATGGGTGGTATTTATGGATACCTAGTTACCATCTTGATTCAGATGTTGTAAAGTATGTTATTCATAAGAAAATGCTTTCTGCTATCTATTCATTAAGTTTTGAGAAAAATCTCAAATTTGCTGGATACATTAGAATGCATTTCAATTTTTTAGTTTTCCATTTTTATCCATAGAGAATCAAGTTATAATAAAGTCTGTCCAACACATTTCCTCCTTATGAGTATGAAATATCAAAAACCATTTGTTCCCTCACTCCTGCTAAATACAAGAAGGAAGAGGAGTTCCATTAAAGCAACTACCAATGAGGGAAAGAGGGAAACATAAACTGTATTACAATGGAAATGAAGCTTATGAAAAAATTCAGGTGTAGGATAATGATTCCCAGATTTTAAAGCTATAAGCCCCCAGAATTATGTCTGTGTTTCTTTAACAACAAGCCACTATCCTCAATCAGTAACCTTGTTTGTTCCCGTGTCATAATCTGACGGCTTCTTCAGTAATAGGCAACGATGCTAAATCCTGATAGAGTCCACATTATGTATAGAGGAAATTACTAATGACTCATTAATCTGATCTTCCCATGGTAAACTTGCTTCAAGAAAATGTGAAGAAAGCATGTAAGAAACCTGACTATCATCGTCTAACCACTCAGCGTGGGCGCACCTACATCACTGACTGATGTGCTACAAGGAAAGAAGAACTGGAATTAACTTGATACAATTTATTGTGGTTCTAAGACATACGTCCACAAGATGTGCTTACGGGCCAAAAGGTTCAGAGCAGGTATTGCTCGCCATCACACATCAGATATGGACAAAGTTCTGTAAGGAGCCTCATCTTCTAACTTCAACACTCATTCTGCACTGAAGACTCCAAGTGTAGGGAGAAGTCAAATTCACACCAAAATCTCACTAAATGGCAGGTGAGATGCTATGATCACGCTTTCAGTTATTCAGAGACAGATCCATAAAGATTATGTTAACTTTGCTCAGGCAGCCAGATAATTGCTTGTTTCATTTATAAAATGATTTAAAAGTTACATAATAACCTGACTTAACTATTACCTCCATTTTGTGCAATACCTCTGCACAACACCTCTGCCTTAGGAAAGACAGAAATAACATCTATGTGTGCATATTTCTTTATCTTCACTGGACTATGATCTAAGCAGCCAATTTATATGAGGAGTATATTCTTAGGTGACTGTACTTATAAAAACTCCACCTAAATGACTTGTACAAGATTTCTCAGTAAGACAAAGCAAAACACGTTAACTCCAAATATGAGTTAATTTATTCCTAAAGTTTTAAAACATGTTTCTCTGAAAGAGTTGATTCTTCTCTCAAGCTTCTAAAGCTTCACCAGAATGCTTACAAGCTTGCTAATATATAATCTCTGTTTTTCTTATTTGTGTATGTCCTTCTGTGAATAGAGAAAGCTGGAGTTGGAAATCGACTTTCATATTAAGCATGTTCATTTACACGGAAGTGATAAGAATTTACTGCTTACCGAAATGAAAGGTAAATCTGAGTGGTTTGGGGAATTATTTCTGTGCATTATTCAAGAAATATTTATCTAAAAATAAATTGTATATGCAACACATTAGTGTTACCAACCACGTACATAAGTGATTTAGTAGAGTTTCTCTATTTTGATTTTTATAGCCTTACCTTTTGCTATGCAACCGTTATTCCTCTCCTTATAATTTTTCTCACATGCACATTTGTATGACCCCTTAATATTATTGCAGTGTTGGGAGCAGGCACCAAATACCATACACTCATTGATATCTATGAGGAAAAGAATTGTAATTTATATACCTATTGTTTAACACACTATTATTTAACACTTTCTAAAAATCATGGAACAAAGCAGATGAACAAAAGGAACTTGCGAACATCGGTCTATATTGGAACAGTAAAAAGAAGCCTTCTGCAATTATCACTAATGTTGTTTCTGCTGCAATCAACATATCTCAGAAAGATTTTTTTTTAATCTTATTTCTCCATCCTTCCTATACCAACCTATTATCATTAGAGCTTGAAATCAACTTAGAGAATGAAAATGTCTGTTACATTTATCTCCAACATACCTACCTCTGCTACAGTCAAAACTACATGATTATCCCTTACTGGGAAAACTCCTTTTTCTTGAGAGCCAAACAATGATGTTTTTGTATGGAAGTATATATTCACTTTGATAGCCACATTGGAGTGATCTCCACTTCTTCTATAAGTAACTGCTCACCAGTAAGAAAATAAATTCACAACCCATTCTTTGGAAACAGATTTATCTTATCTTTCTGATCAACTCTCTCATTATAACAACTATGTCTTTTTTCTGACCGGTGTGGCATCACATATATTAAGACTACATTTTTTGAGGAATTTTACTTTCAATCTGTTTATTTTCATTTCAATTTGTTTTATGCATCTTTGTTATTTAAATAATCTTGAAATATTCTCATATACCAACTTAAATACCAATCCAAATTGCTCAGTTAAACTAGACCTTAAATCACCAGTTAACCCCTTAATTGATAAAATCATTCAATGGTCTGATCCGAATTTTTTGACATTCACAACCAATGTTAATCTTTGATAACCTCTCCAGGTAAAATGCATAAGTCCAGATCCTGTAAATCCTTTCAGTTTCTATTCTTGATTTCTTAATCCCATTGCCGTGAACCAGTTTTTACTCTGCAGATAAAAGTATGTGATATGCATCTCCTTCTCCAGCACAGAAAATTGACAATGCAGTCGACTTTTAATACTTTACAGCAAAGGATGAAGATCTGTACCTTCACATTGTCTATTCCTCTTGTTTCTCTGAAATCCAGGTTTACACTGACACAGTAAGGATGTTTTTGTTTGATTACAGTATGCGTCATCTCCACAAGGATTCACATTATCATCACATGTATATTCAGAGACACCTAAACATAAAAAAAATGTCTAAAAAACCACTGATAGATTTGTTTAAACTGTTAAAAATGAGATCTAAAATAACAACAACAAATAACAAATTTATATTTGTGTTAAAAAAGTATCAGGTAAATTTTAAACAAATATACGACATTACAGTATTTAACTACATATGTATGAATTTACAGTATTTAATTGAGATACTTCATTTCACATCCAGAATTAAATACTAAAATTTATTTTGTTGCAAATATGAACTAAAATACAATCAACTTGAAGCTAAACTACTTCAAAACCCCAAGAACTACTCTAAAAACTACTACAACCTGAACTGATATAAAATTTGCCTTCCAAATTTGACAATTTGTGGTATGTCAAATAGCATTAACTTTTTTTAACTAAAAAAACCCCCACTTTAATTAGCTTCTGTGTTGAGTAGGTTTTGCATGGATGAAAGTCCTAGTTAATTATTTCTTTTCTGGTACAATCACGAAAACGTATCTTGTCAGCCAAACTCACTTATTTTGCAGTCTTGCTCATCTGAACCATCTCCACAGTCATCAAACCAATCGCACTGTAGCTCCATTGGAATACATTTCTTATCATTACAAGCAAACTCATCTTTTTTACACGGTCTTGCTTTATATGTGATTTTATCTATATAATTGCAAATTAATAAGAGAAAAATAAATCAGTATTTAAGATTCTCAGATTATTTTTGACATATACAAATGGGAATGTCCATGAAGCATCAACCAACTGGAAATTATTTCAAGCTTAATTTCTTTCAATTTCAAATTCTGATCTACTAACCTCCAGTTAAGCGTTACTGAAGGACAAGCAGATCTCTGTAACAAAGTTTGCATTCAAGTTGCTTTCTTTGATCTGAATGCCCTGAAAGGTAATATGACCTACCGCAGTGATCTTCATCCGAGTTATCTCCACAGTCATCAACCTCATTGCAAATCTGCTCAGGTCGCAGACAAACCCTGTTGTTTCTACATCTGTACGGCCTTGTTGGAGGGCATGGAAACTTTACTGTATATTAAAAAAAAAAAAAAAAAAGAGAATCAGCTATTAGCCAGCTTGTATTCTTGAACCTTCTTTAATGTCTCTTTATCAAAGCAATAAGGAGGCATGGGGATACAGTTGTACTTGACACATGAATGGTACTTGATTTTAACTTCTGGTACCTAATGGAATAACACTTCAACGATGTTTACAGTATAAGTTCTTCATTTAGGGAATGAAATTATTTTGTTTGATAAGGATAATTACACTTCTTTCTGAGAATCAGTAAACATGAGAGAAATAAAACAAAGGAAGTAGGAAGTTTAATGATGATCAATATTTCAATGTAGCATTAACTTTTTCCCATCTGTGCATTTCCTACAAAAAACTTAATTTCTCACAAAAATCTTACCTGAAATTACATGAATAGCCATAACAACAAAAAACTATACCCCACATTTCAAGCTAATCTTCTAAAAGTAAAATAAACTTAGATGTATATATCCTTATATATTCATGCATGTTACATGACATTTCTTGCTTCACTACATGAAAAGTACTGAAAAATGTAATGTCATACCACACATTTCAGCAACTTCATCAGAGTTATCTCCACAGTCATCCTCGCCATCACAAACCCAAAAATGTAGTTTGCAGAGGGAATTGTTGCACAAAAATTCATCAGCTCTACATATATTTCCCCCTGGGAGGATGAAAAGAAGACAGAAAAACCCCAGGCAAAGAGAAAGACAAAAGAAAGAAAGTCAATTCTTGATAAACCCAGTCCAACCACTTATCACAAAGTATCTGCAGAGAATGACACATGTAGCATAACTAAATGAACAATTCGCAAATGAAAGGGTTGGAGAAGTAGAGAGAAATACTCTTTTAAAAAGCTCTTCCTTGACCATACACTTCTTTCACTTTCTTTTCATGACTTTCAGCTGGGAATTACCTATCTGGTCTGACTAGAAAGGTCAGTCAGCAAAGACAGACACTGGTGACTCACCAGCTCGGCATGTTCCCCTGGCATTTAGCCAGGAGATGCTTTAACTATCTTTCTGTCTGTAACTTCCTTCGGTGATGCTGCCTTTCAGAAAAGGCCTGGCTGGGTACCATCAGTAACTTGTGCTATCAGAGAACAGTACAAACCAGAAGACAGAAATACTGTCAAACTTGTGAACGGCCACTTCAGTCCAGGTCTGTTTCATGTGAATGTCTGATCCTCCACCTATTCTTACTCCCACTCTCTGAGCCACGCATCGTCTTCAGAAGACAGAGTGATTACAGTCCCTTAGCCATGAGGTAGTACCTTTTTCTTCTCCTGATGAGTAATAAGCTTGGCCAAGCTTGTAATGTCCCCATCAACTATAAACTCTGTAATTAAGGAAGATCTAGCCATGTAGGCACAGAGCAGATAAGCCTAGGTGACCTCGAACCGTCTCTTCCTTTTTGTAACTCTCGAAATGTCTCATTAGGATATTTACTGAACATAGAATGCAGCAAGAATAAATTCTTCCATGTAACTTCAGTATTGACTGAACTCTGAATCATCTAACAAAATGGAACAGAGGGTGAGAAAAAATGTTTTAAGATGGAGTGCTCAAGCCTTAAAAATTGGTTCAAGTTGGATTCAGTTTTAATATGCGTAGCAGTAAGAAGGCATTTTGTTTCAAAATTGTGACTAAATTTTACCATTATCAATCAACAAAGTTACGGAAACTTCTTGAAATTAATTCTCTATATAACACATTTTTATAGTAACTGGATTCTCAGTTTCCTGAGAAGAGCAGAGTATAAAAGAAATAAAGCTGTGTACCTGCAGAGAAGGAAAAAATGGAATTTTATGATAACACCAAAACTCTCAGTGTTGCTTACCTCAGTGCATTACACCATGCTAATAGTTAGATCAGGCCCCAGTGGTTGTTTACTTATTCATTCAGTGCCCCGTTCACACCCCATTAAAATCAACAGAAGGCTTTCTTTCGCTATAAAGGGTTCAGAATGGTTTAATTTTTTTTTTCCAGAAAATTAATTTGCACGAAGTACCCACCGTGTAACAGGAGGTTGGGAACTCTCACACTATGTTACCAGATACAATTCACTCCCATTGCAAATATAACTTCTGAACATTAACAGAAATATTCTTTATTATCATCCAAGGAAAAATATATAAAATTCAAGTATTCTTCATGATGAAAGACATGAATATAAATAATTGTGTGCGTAATCACAATAAAGCCATAATTCCAGTTGTATAATAAGACTGAAAAGAGTTATGTTTATAAATATGCACAGTGGGCTTCAGATAAATATTATGGAGATTGTTTTAGAATGCTGCCGAATAAATGTGTGTTTGCTGTATTTCCAAAGAGGAAAAAATTAGTTATCAGTGAGATAAACTGGCATTTGTTTCATGTGATTGCTCTGCCTATCATAATTCCTTTATAGAATAGATTTCTATAACAGAAATCATAATTGTGACATAAATACAAAGTATTATAGCAATAACCAACTAGGCAAAAGACTTCTTATTGCATTATAAGCAATTTGCGGTTCACAGAAGTCCCATTATGCTATCCAAAGAATAATGAGGGCTTCAGATAAAATAAGTGCTTTACTTACTTATGCGTCATTGTTTTTTAAAGAGATACAGTCCAGATATTTTAAAAACAGTTGTAAAATGGACGAGAAGTTTTTTAAAACTTTGTTATGTCAGTCTTTTGAAAACAATCCATTCTTCGATGCTTCCAAATATGATGTTTCGTCTCTTTGCATCTAAACATCTCTGGAACACTCTTCCCATTTTCTTCACTTCCTGGTCAATCATCCCATATAACTACTACTTTTTTTTTTTTTTCCCCCTAGTGGTAAATGTTGCTTAACAGACTTATGACAAAATAAGGGAAGGATATTTTACTCCGTAATTGCTTGCTCCATCTCTGATTCTTATTTACTTATTATTGTACTGCATTATGCTTTTGAAGTTACACACGTGATCGTAGATGACACACACAGAACTACTCACTTTAAAGAAAAGAAGAAACATGTGGAAGAAACAAGAAGCTGACAAAATGCCTAGTAAAATTTTGCTTTTTTTAAAAAAAAAAATCTTCAGTTTGAGTGAGTAGTTCTGTGTTTGTCACAATTTTTTAATTACTACACTTACTAAGAATTTTGTATAGAGTTACACTGCTACTGCCTGGTAGCTGAAGCAAGGTCTGGTTGAAAAAAAAATCAGCAGCAACTATAAGAATTAAATCAACAGATGTATTTCTCAAAAACATATTTGGAAGCTTAATCATAAGCATGGAAGTCTGAGCCTAGTGTTTAGCTTCATGAGAATCAATTTATGTGCGCAGTTCTGCTCTCTAAGGAGAGCGAGAATTCAAAATGTGGTTTTATGGGTTCTGGTTAGTTGCAACATTTCATCTCCATGGAAATAAATAGAAAACTGGGGTCTGAAGATTACTTATTTAGCAATTTTTCATCATATTGCATGGCTTTGTAATTTATTGTTGCCTATAAAACTGTAAATTAACTGGACTTATTACCGCTTTCTCTGATGAGACACTATATGCTTCCAGTAATAACACAACCTTTTGGTCCTTGGGGAAGGAAACACAAAGAAGGAACAATGAGCTGTTTTATAAACAACGTAAGTTTTGCTTTGTCCTGAAAATCACCCGTGAAGTTGCTATACTGTCTTTGTCGAAAGAGGTCACATAGTTTTAATTTCATCGCTAGGAATGGGCAGGGTACCACTGACTTACGTGTGTTCATATAAAACCCAATAAAGTAAGCCTTTTAAAAAGAAAAGTGTCTCTCGCCTTGGTCACAGTTTTCTTCATCACTGCCATCCACACAGTCATGGATTCCATCACAAAGCCATCTGACAGGGATACAGTAGGCCTTATTTTTGCATCGAAACTGATCTTCTTTACATTCCGTGACACAGTCCATCTGTGTGAATACAGATATGAACTAAGTATGAGTGGATGTGCAAAACAACAACATATTTAAGTACAAACCTAACGGAATTCACTACCACTGTTTTTTATTGTCCTAAGTATTTCATATAATAAAGTTGTGCCTGACAATGGAATGTGCAACTTAAATAGTTGCTGAAGTTTAAGTGAAATTGTAACCACAAGTTATAAAGGTTCTGACATTACTTCTTCACGTTGCTTATTATTAGCAATGGAAACAATGGCCACATTTACATTTCTGAAGTCAACCGCCCTACAAGAAATGACCCTGATGACATGAGGCCAGTTAGTGCGAACTGGTTCATATAGATCAGGACTAGAAACCTCCAGAGTGGATTGTCTTCACCTGCAGTACGTAGCATTTGGCTAAGGCATCCTTCATACTCTCACTGGCACCTTTATGGCTCTGAGAAATAACAGTGATTTTTGGTCTTTTTTCTTGAATTTGTTTATGAAGGCGGTAATTTTTTAAAAAGATATCATCACTGCAACATGTAGGAAGAGCACGGCATGAAGGCCCACAGAGGGTGAGGTGCCTGCTAGGATTGTGTTAGGTGAATCTGGAGGACAGAGGAAACCAAATGTGAGACAAACTCGTCCATGCTGCCAGTACAGAGCTGTCCCTGAAGCAAACTCCTCCAGAACCACCTCAGGTTTTGACTTAGGGGAAACAAATACATCTACTCCAAAAGGTGGCCACAGAGCAAACAAACATAATGCAGTGTAACTACCAGGGAATCAAAATCATGGGGCTAAGTTATCTGATATTCAATGGATAAAAAAAACCCCAACAAAACCCAAACATTTGCCCTTTTAATTATTTTCAGACCTAAAACTGTTAACAAATTTCATGTCAGACAATTGAAAGAGGGGGAAATCAATGGAAATCTGTCAGCTACCTCATCAGATCCATCCGCACAGTCATACTCTCCGTTACATTTCAAAGATGCCGAAATACAGCCTCCACTTGCACACACGTACTCACTTGAAGAGCAGGTTGGAGATGCTGGTTACAAACACATATTTTAGCATTAAGAAAAAGACAAATTATAAATAAGTTGCTTTATATTTTAATGTTTTCATCTGGTTAACATAGGGGGCAAACACGTATTTGCAGCTGACTAGAGCTTTTCCATATCTTGGTAAACTACAATGAAATATTTGACAAAACTGGATTGTTGCATCCTAAGTAAATTGTATAATGACAGTGAAAGGATATTTGTGTTTTATCACCAACAAACTTCTTTTTGTGTTTTTCTAATGCTTGGTAACAATGGTTCCTACACACATACGCATATTCATAGAATGAGTATATTAAAAAAACCCCGCATTCTTTAAAATGGGCTTAGGGTTTAGCTAATTAAATAATTAAATAAGCTAAATCTATAAGAAGCCATGGGTTTAGAAAGTATACATTATTACAATTAAAATAAATACATATTAGTTTTATTTAAAAAGTAGGTAGATATTTTTGTCAAATTGTAAATCGGGGGTGTTTTGTCACAGGCTTCTATCAGCTGCACCCATCTAGACGAAACTTATAAAAATTTAGGAAAATTCCTACAAAAATAAACAATGGTATTTTCCAAGACAGCAAAAAGGGAATACAACAGGAACCACAAAAATAATAATTTGCTAGAGAAAACCTTTGTGTAAGGACTAGTAAACTTGAAATGAACACCACAAACCAAATAATCCCCAAAGACACTTTAGTAACATGCCAAATATTACTGCTGGTTTCAGAGCAGAAATTTATATGCTGAGTATGCATTATCAAATTACATTTCAATATAATTAAATTAAATACCATTCCCCCAACAAGCCTCATATTGCGTAGCTGTACATAAGTGGGGTTTTCGAAACATGAGTAGGAAGACATAATGATATACATTCAAAAGTATTTCAGATTTCTTTGCACTCCTCCCCACTTTGAGTGCCCGAGGAATCTCTATTTGGTGATTTATTTTGTCCTTGTTTCATTCCGATTTATCCCTTGCTTCACTTCATTTCTCACCATTGTTTGAAACAATACCTGGTTCACAATTCTTCTCGTCGTCCCCAAGTTTGCAGTCTTCATGACCATCGCATTTCCATTTCGCTGATATGCACTGCCCGTTGGAACACTGGAACTGATCTCTCGAACAGCCGGTTTCACAGTACCTCTGGTACAATAGAAACAACGCATATACGAGATCAAAGGTTTAATTGGTAAATACAGAGCTGATCACAGAAGTTACAGCCTATACTCCTCCACACTATGAAACACAGTAATGCCTTGTGAAACAAAATATATTTGTAGATACAGTTCATGAAAGGTGGCTCACACTAAGTAGGTGGGAAGCACCGAAGTCCAGCACTGGCAGGAAAGAAGAAGGGACAAGAGGGACAGGAAAGAACAGAACAGCAAAGCATCAGCCAGGGAGCTTCTGCTACACAGCAAGCAGTCTACACTGTTTTCTCAAAAAAACCCACAAACCAAACCACTGCTGTGCGTAGAAGGAGCAGTTCCCCAACCAGGACAAAATATTTCCAGGATGGGAAGAGGTCCAAATCATTGCTGGGACAAAACGATGTAGGCTATTGTTAAACGTGATTTTATTTGCATGTTCTCTTTTTAGGAGAACTATTTCACTAAGTTTAGTTTTAATTTAGTAGAGATATTTGCATATACGGATTCATGCGTAGAATTCCCATTGCTGCTTTTTAAAACATTAATATGTGGGAATCCATTTTCAAACAATACAAAACTACTAATTTTCTAAAGAACCATTTTTCCTGGCAGAAGCCTACCTCATCTGAGCCGTCTGCACAGTCATAATCTCCATCACACCAGAATCTTGCTGAAACACAGTCTCCATTCGCACAAAGAAAGTCCTTCAAAGTGCATGTTTGAGGCTCTGAATAAAGAAAAGTAAGAACCCTAGGTTTATTAGCATTTTCATAAGAGATTTTATACAGAACCCCCCCCAATCAATCAATGAATGACTATAACAAAGTCAAAACCACTCCCTTGCAAACTATAAAAAAAAATCATTTTTTTCTGTAGGACTTCTTTTCATAACATTTTATAACTAATTTTCATTTACATATAGTACGATAGTAATGAAATTACTTTCATTTCACTTCTATCAAATTTCTTTGGATAATTACGTCGTGCTGACTATATAAATATTATTTATCTCAATCCATGTATGTTATTACAGGGATTGCGAGATATGTACACAGACTAGAAATTCATTTTGCAACTGTTAATATCCAGTTATTACTAGAACTAACCAGGTCTTTGACTTTCCATCATGCAATCACATACCATTTATCACATATCTTTTAGCATATCCGTGTGTGTGGAGTCAGCTTCCCCTGTGCCCACAGATGGGAGCAGTCTTTTTTCAGTGGTGCCCAGTGATAGGATGAGGGGTAATGGGCATAAACTTGAACATAGGAAGTTCCATCTTAACATGAGGAGGAACTTCTTTACTTTGAGGGTAGTGGAGCACTGGCACAGGCTGCCCAGAGAGGTGGTGGAGTCTCCCACTCTGGAGACATTCCAAACCCGCCTGGACGCTGTCCTGGGCAACCTGTTGTAGGTGACCCTGCTCTGGCAGGGAGTTGGACTAGATGATCTCCAGAGGTCCCTTCCAACCCTGACCATTCTGTGATTCTGTAAGCACTCTGGGGAACAGTACTGAGATGGTCAATGGAATGCCCAAGAGGTAAGTTTTGGAGTTGCAAGTAAAAATCCGTTTTCCAGAAATTAAGTATGGGAGGAAGCATAACAATAATCCACTGATTTAAATACTGACAAAATCGTTGGAGAGATATAAACAGAATGAGAATACAGCCAGTTGCAAAAGCCAACGGACAGTATACTTTAATAAATAACCACTACTGTCAATTCGTTACAAAACACAGAAAAGGAAAAAGAATGGTAAGAATAAGGATGGAATTTTCAAGACATTTCAGGGAGACAGAAGGGAGATGTTAGATTAAAAGAATCTAAGGAGCTTACAGATAGATAGGAAACAGTAAAGGTTGGAAGGTAAGTGGGATATTTTGTGATAAATGGGTATGTTGTTCTGCTCCCTGGGAAGAAACAAAAGACAGGGAAGTCTGAAGTCATTATTGAAGGGGAAGAGTAGACATAAACTTAATTCAAGGTACAGGCAAAGCAAACGGGAGAAGCAGACTGCAGGGAGAGACGCAGTAATCCCGAGAAGGTGAGATTGGCTGTTTCAGCCTCTTGACTTCACTGTCTGCACAGCTCTGCGTTTTCGCTGCTGCTACTGCCACTAAAACCCTGGCAAGGGGACCAGTGTGGAAGATTCCCCCAGCAGAATACTGTGTGCTTTCCTCCTGAAAACGAGGACCATTACAAAAGACATTGGAAAAAATGAACTTCATGTCTGGGCTTTGGACAAAGGTAGATAAGTAGTAAGGGTTGAGGAGAATTTAAGCAAGTCTCTACATGCAATTTAGACTTTGCCAGTCAGAGAGCTTTGGGAAAGCAGGACTGCAAAAGCAAACAAGGATTATTTGTGGGATTATTTCCATCACAGTAAACATTGCATTATGTAAATAATGTAAAACCAAGAATAAGGATTAATTAGTAAGACCTTCTCAACAGAGAGATGGGAAAACAGTTCAGGCAAATGGTAAATGAGAGTGACTAAATCAATGGAGGGAGGGTAAAAAAGAACGAGGAGAGTGAGAGCTGACAGTAGCAATGGACAGTAATGGGTTGGGCAATGCTAAAGGGTCCTTTAGCTAGTTATGGAAGGTGGAGGCACGAATTCTTTTGAAAAACATACCATAGAGATCAAGGAAGGCAAACACAAAATATATGACTTCCAATTGAGAAGAATTTTGTAAATACCAGCATGAGAATATAAAAGATGTGAGTGGCACAGATCTAAGATAAAGTTGAACTTAGGTTTTTTTTCTGGATTTATAAAAAAAAAAAATAATCAAGAAAGGAATAGTTTTAATAACCCTTTCAGATACCTTTTTTTTCTTTTTCCCACTTCATAAAAAAAGTCAAAATGACCCTGTTTGAAAGTTTTTAAGAGAAATTTCATTTTTCAGGAAGGCCAAACTTCTCATTTTGAAGTTGCAGGAAAGTCATAATAAAAGTAGATCTACAGCAATTGCATCAGTTCTCCAGCAATGCTATATTTAAGCAAATCAAAAGTTAGCATTTATATGGATTCTTAGATTATACATATACTACTTCTAACTTTTTTCATAGCAAAAGCTCATTGTATAGATGTTAGTAAATCAGTGACATTTGATTCCTTTTGTTGTCAACAGGCCAGGAAGAGGACGTTCAAGATAGGGTAAAATATGTAAAGGAAATAATTTGTGGAAAAAGTAATTCACATGCAAATAAACATTTGTCATGCTTCTATATTGATTTGCAAAATATAAGCAAATATATTTTCTATACTGCTCATGAATTATTTATAAACAGAGATTTGATTCTGGAAAAATATACACAATAAGCTAACTTCTCACTTCTCTGTTTGCAAGAAATATTTTTTCTGCTGCTGGAATACATCTCTGATTTACATATGAACATGGAAGAGTACTTTCCCATCGGTGCTCTGACTGTTAGTGAAAGGAATAAGTATTAATAGACTTCTGTATAACCAATGAAGGACAGCATCTTTCAACTTCTGCTTTACAAAAACACTGAAACTCCTTCACAGGAAAAGCATTTTTGAATTATTAGAAAGAAATTTATTTGAAACGCACCACATAAAAATGTGAAAAACTAGGTCATCTTAAGACTGAAAATAATCTGTAGAGCCAACAGACATTTGTTATCAACTTAAATGGTAGCAAGAAAAGGATGTCATGAAAAACGTTTAAGATTGTCATATTTGGGGTTCAACTTTGCATTTAGTTATCACGAATTGAAAATACTTTTTTAAGAGACTGATTACTTATATACAAGTCAGAGGGAAAAAACACAAGTTTTTTTCTCAAAATAGGATATGGAGTTCAAACTTATAGTCTTTTACCTGTATTCATACAGATTAAATATGTTTGCTCCTTGTGAGAATTCTATGTCTTGTAACAGCTGTTACAAAGCCAACTTGTAGAGAAACTAATTTGTATATTAGAAAAGGTGGAACTTGTACATAGAAAAACAAACAACAGCAATACAAACATGTATTCAAACATTCAACCAAAATGAATGAGAAGCATACATTGACCTCTTGATTCATCCTGGCATTTGGCAGTAGATCACAAAGATTTAGAGGAATTATTTAACCCACACCTTCTTGTGATGAATGACTATTCATCTCATCTGCTACTAGACGGTTGTGTTGGAGTAGAAACCTTTCAATAAGCCAAGCCAGAGTATCCAGTATGATGCATCCACATAACATCAGTGAAACAGTATTATCATGACGTTGTGGGTTAACCCTAGAGGGCAGCTGAGCCACACACAGCCACTCAGAAGGGTAAAAGTTCAAAAACTTGTGGGTTGAGATAAAGACAGTTTGATACGTAATGCAAAAGCTGCGTGCACAAGCAAAGCAAAACAATAATTTATTCACCGCTTTCCATCGGAGGCTGGTATCCATCAAACCAGGACAAGCTGCTTCCAGGAAAGAATTTGAACATAAGAAGTTCCAACATGAGGAAGAACTTCTTTACTTTGAGGGCACCAGAGCACTGCCACAGGTGGGGGAGTCTCCCACACTGGAGACATTCCAAACCCGCCTGGACGCCGTCCTGCGCAACTACTATAGGTGACCCTGCTCTGGCAGGGGGGATTGGACTGGATGATCTCCAGAGGTCCCTTCCAACCCTGACCATTCTGTGAAAGAAGGGCTTCATCATGTGTAACCGTCTTGGGAAAACAAAATGCCATAACTCTGAACATTCCCCCTTCCTCCTTCATTTCCTCAGCCTTTTATTGCCAAGCGTGATGTCATATGGTATGGGATATCCCTTTGGTCAGTTGGGGTCAGCTGTCTGACTTCTTGTTCACCCCCAGCCTGCTCGCTGGTGGGGCAGCATGAGGAACAGAAGAAGCCCTGACTCCGTGCAAGCACTGTTCAGCAACAACTAAAACATCAGCATGTCACCAACACTGTTTTCGTCACAAATCCAAAACACAGCACCACAGAAGCTACTATGAAGCAAACTAAATCTATCCCAGCCAAAACCAGTACACGTGCCAAAATGGAAGACGAGGAAAAACCAAAACCACACTTCCTTATCATTCATTATGACAATACTGCTAAAAAAAGTAACACGGCCCATTCTGCAGAATGAACGCCTGCAAAAACAAGACAAGTGGTCATAGGTGGGTTGGTTGGTTTTTTTTGTTTTGTTTTTTTTCCCATATATTTGATGTGGCATTAAATGCATATTTCTTTTACCTATTTATTTTCAGTAACTTTACTTATTTGGTATTTCACCAAAACAAAGACGACACTTATTCTTTGGTAGTCTAGACATAAGACTGGTAGGAGTACAGAAAAGAAGAAACCTTTGGTACACAGGATTTTATCATACTATAGTAGCATCCTTGCTTCTGGCTAGCTTTGACACCAAGCTGCCTTTAGAAAACTGACAATAGCCATTGTCTGACTTGCAACACGCCAACTGAGCCTTAAGCACGTGAAGAATATGAATTTACATCACTGTTCGCTCAAAATTTACTCAAGATGACATTATGAGACATTCCGGCTTAGTTTCTTTCAATATAGTAGTTTGAAACTTTTTCACTTAAACATTAAATTAATTGCTAGTTCTTATTTCATTGGGATACAAACTAATCCCAGGACAAAATTAACTAATTTGTTCTCTTGACACCTTGTAAGAGCAACAAAACAGCACTGAGAAGATTCTCTAGCAACTGCAATATTTCTACACTGATTAAATTAATGTGTTTCTACAGCACTATTACATTTGCTTTGCTTCAATGTTTACAGTATACTGTATTTTCTTTGATTACATTCGATAAAACACTGCTAGTGCCTTCTTTTGAGCAGGAATAAGATCATATTACTATGGAATTATCCACGTTTGAAGTTCCCTGAAAGAGAAAATACTATTTTTTGTCCTAATTTGTTTGAAAAAATCCAAATAAACTCTAAAAGCTAATTTCCCCTTAAAAAAAGATATTAAGAACTCTTATAAAGATACTAGGAACTTTTCAGAAGAGTTAAAAATGCATTCTACTTTGCTTAGTGCTAACTCAGTATGGATCTATAACCTTCCTAATACCTCTTCCTGATATGGAGGGTCCAAATGACTGCTGGCAACCTTAATTAGGTTTAAAGTTTTAAAAAGTTCTTCCAAATTTGAACATATTAACTGGAAAATTGAGCTGCCATTTAAGACTATTTATGGCAAGCATTAGTACTGCTCTCTCCAATGTAAACTCTGCTCCCCTAGTGTCCTTGCCTAGGTTCCCATCAACATGACTGCATCTCTTCTGTGAGCTGCTCCTATCAGACTGCTTCTGACAAAGTCATAGGAGGGGAAGTAATTTCCTCTGATAACTCTCCGTCAGTTTTTTGAAGAAGCACAACAGATTTACATTCAGCTATATAAACGTTAGATAAGAAGCCAAAGAAAGTAAAGAAATAAGCTAGGAAGGATGCTTCCCGCTGCATATTGTAAGACAAATATAGTTAAACAACAATAAACTGCAAGACAAATACAGTTAAAGAACAAATTCATAATAGGCACAACTATTTGCATTATACCACTAATAATTTTTCACACCCATACGTGATACTTTTTAAGATACAGTTTCACTTCTGATAACATCACCAGGATGCTGTGTGAGCATGCGAAGAAACTATATAGAGAAATATAAACACTTGAGCTGAATTTCTACAATTCAATGAATTCATTCTGCATTCTTGAGAAATAACTCATTTTCTGATATAGTTGCCTGACAAGCCATTTTGTAAATTCATGTATGCTATGAACAACTTATTGTAATGTGCAATGTAATATATATTGTCAAATGCTTTTGAAGTTCTAATGTCATATATATTTGTTTCATTATACTTTATTCTATAAGTGGCTTGACAGCATATAAAGAATTTTATACATCTATTTCAAACAGCTGAACAATATAATATATTTTCCCAATGCTTCCAGGATTTTGAAATTTACAGCTGTGTCAGCTTACTGTACTTAATTTAAACAGCAGAATAAAGGGACTCAACAATTAGAAATGATGTACGCATTTGACAAGCAAAAGAAATTGGAAAAAAAGCTAACACAAACTACAGTTCACCAGTCTGGCCTTTAGTTTGATGCACTGGCTGTGTCTCGGTAGTCTCAACTCACTTTATTGTAAACAAAGGTTTATCACTTTATCAGTGAGCAGTTTTTATGATTCTTATCTAGAGATAAGAAACATAATATGTAACTTACCAACAGAGCTAAACTAACTGTAATATTTGTTTTGAATTAATTGGATTATTGAGAAATCACAGGTCAAGCATTTTCGCATAGCTGATACAGAACTATGGCTCCTTACAAGAATTAATAAAATTGAAGAATTTCAGCAAGAGACATTTTCAATTCTGGTCAACTGATTTTCAACGAATCAGATGGCATTGTATAACACACGTGCAGTTTATCAAAACTGAAAAGTTTCCTCTTACATGTTGCTAAATTGACTCCACTCCTTATAACACATACTCAGGCAAAAGTTACTTACTACAGTTTTCTTCATCAGAGTTATCACCACAGTCGTTCTGGCTGTCACATCTCCAATGATCTGGAATACAGTTGTTGTTTTTGCACTGGAATTCATGAGGCCCACAAGTTTTTTTATCTGTAATTAAGATTAATATAATTTACATCACTGCAGACCAAGAGTCAAAATGGGAAAGACTGCTATTAAGCAGTGACATCACAATATTGCTAGATACATTTAAGAAGGAGCAATTATAGCACTTGAAATGTTACTTTCAGAAATAATTTATTTCTCATACCACATTCTTTCAGGTTCTGTTAATTCATCTGTACCAAAAGAGATACACTCATAAAGTTGATGATAAAATTAAAATATGGACTGTATACATTGTCATTTAAAGTAAAAATTACGAAATTCAGAAGTACTCACAAATTAGCCTGAAAAGAAGGTATCAATGCACTGACTCTCAAAACCTGCACTGACTTTTCCTTGAGTTTATCTGTAAGACTGCTTTACAAAAGACCAGATCACAGTAAACCACAAGAATATTTATTTGAAAATGTACAAAATATAAATTTCTCAAAAATTATGTTTGCATATCATAAGACTAATCATATCTGACAGATAAATGTATTTTGATTTACTTTTTAACCTTCTGATGTCCTAGATTGGATGTCTACTTATACAAAGTAAAACATATAATGCTAAACTGAGATTCATTTTCTTCATGCAGTAAGTTTTCAATGATCTTTCCTGTTTACACAGCAGCACTGTTGGGAAAGCCTCTTGGAGATGCAGGAACATCTTGAACTCCTCCAGCAGGAGGGAGTTGCCTGTGTTTTATTTAAATTTTTCATTTCTTGAGTAATTTTTTCAGGTTTTAAGGACTGAAATGAAATGAAGTAAATTAAAAAGTTATCAGTGACATTTTCTTGGGGTGGGAGGGAAAGTTTGATTTGTAAAAGCCTCAATGACATATTTAAAATTACATGTCACTGGGACGATATTTCAATAGAAATTTCTTAAATTTACATTAGGCTACTTCATAGCATGTCAGTTCAGACTTCATATTGCTATCACAACTCCTCGATGAGTTCTAATAACTGACAGAATGAAGAAGGATTGAAACACTAACTTAAATCAACCTGCTTTCTTTGCCTGTGAAATGGAAAGGACCACAAATTATAGGTATTAGATTTGATGCTACGGCCCAAACTGCTGCTTTTTGTGCTTCATTTTAGGTGTGATTCTGCAACTAGAGTGATAAATCAAAACTACATTTGAATATCAAGAACGTGGAAGTAAATGGTGTTGCAGCTCAGTTGTGTACACACAAAAATTTGGTAATTACAATAATTCCTTTTGATTTGTTCCTTATATAGTGACCAAGTAGTTTTCACCCAAAATACTTTTTCCTACAATGTTTCTCAAGATGACAGTCTACGACATTTCAATCGTGACCTGTTGGAGTGGGTCCAGAGGAAGGCCACAAAGATGGTCCGAGGGCTGGAGCACCTCTCCTATGGGGACAGGCTGAGAGAGTTGGGGCTGTTCAGCCTGGAGAAGAGAAGGCTTTGGGGAGACCTTATTATGGCCTTCCAGTACCTAAAGGGCCTACAGGACAGATAGGGAGGGCCTTTTTACAAGGGTATGTAGTGATACGACGTGGGGTAATGGCTTCAAACTGGAAGAGGGTAGATTTAGATTAGATATCAGGAAGAAATTCTTTATACTGAGGGTGGTGAGGCACTGGCGCAGGTTGCCCAGAGAAGCTGTGGCTGCCCCATCCCTGGAGGTGCTCAAGGCCAGGTTGGACGGGGCTTGGAGCAACCTGGGCTGGTGAGAGGTGTCCCTGCCCAGGGCAGGGGGGTTGGAACTAGATGATCTGTAAAGTCCCCTCCAACCCAAATCATTCTCTAATTCTATGACATTTCAAATACTTGCACTGGCAAGCACTGAAAAAACATTTAACATCACAAAGCATAAAACATCGCCACTCCCCCACTTCCCCTGAAAATAAGACACTTGTATTTTGTTTCTGTAGCTTGGCAAAAGATCAAGTTTCAAACCAGAAATCCATCCTATATTTATTAAAATACTTATAGTAAAGTCTAGAATCTCCCAGTAACATACCTGCCCACAAAATGTGTCCTAAAGGCTAATGACAGATTATATTCTATTTATCCTCCCACATTCAATAGAAATATCAAGATTTAAGCAGTGATACACAGAAACCAGAGATGACATCCCTTCATTTCAGCTACCTGCTAGGATGAAGAGAGCATGCCATATATATTTTCTTTGTCTTCAGAAAGAATTATCTAGTTCTCAAGGATGCTAAATCCATTCTCTAGCATTGCCTCTTTACACTTGTGAAGAAAGGCTGTATTTTTTTTTTTTTTAATTTATCATTGTGTAGTCTAACCTCATGATTACCACTTGAATATTGATCTTTCTCTTCTTACCCTATTTTTACAGAACACAAAGAAATATTTAATTCTTTTTTTATACAAAATATTTTTTATGTTTGGAAGGCGCTCTCTTCTTCTCTTCACAAATCTGAAATCTTTATTTTTCCTTGGGTTGACTCTGATCTCTCACAGCAGCTTAAACTTGACAATGTCTTACACACCAGATTTGCTTGTCTTGTATTTCCTTCTTCAAATTAATGAGAGCCAAAGAAAACACTAGGATAGTAGAACTAAGATATAACAGAGGAAGATTTGGGGAAGGTGCGTAACAAATATCTGATCTTTGAGAAAGACTGATTTACTCAACTCAGAGGAAATAGTGCAAGACCTTAATTTTTGAATCATGGAACCCCGAAAACCACACACAGACCCACAAACATTTTGTCATTGCTGTCTTCAGCGCTAAATTGCTTTCCATTTTTCTTAAAATAAGACCATCTTATAATGTGAAAGTTCAGATAGGAATAGTATACAGACAAAGTAGTAAGAACTCAATTTTCATATTTCTGTCTTCAAATTATTAATAGGAGATTCATTGGTCTACTGTAACAGGCAATGGGCCCTTTTCAGGTATTTTGTGACTGCCCGAGGAAGTTGCTGGTGTGTTGGGGTTCGTCTCTTGTGCACACCAATCTAGGATTTCATTGCAGAAGTAATTCTAAATGAGCATGAAGAAAAGAGGATGAAGGCTTAAATGGAAAACAAAACAAAATAACCCCCAAAATATTACATATGCACCCTAAAAGCATTTTGATTTAAATATAAAGTGCTATGAAGTAAAACACTATTTTGCCTCTAGTTGCACTACAGTGCTGTTGGGGGGATTTTAATTCCATATCTGTTCATGTGTGTGCATTCGTGTGTTTGTGTGCGCATGCCTGAGAGGGATAAAGTCCAAAACGACAAGCAATTCGCTTTTGATCGAGGATCAGCTAGCTGTTCTGGAGCTCAGCAGGCTGTCACTGACGCTGGATCCAGGGAATTATTAGCCTGTTGAAGGACGTTTATATAATGCATCCTTCAAATATCTCCAGGAACATATTCTTCATCACCAGAAACCCCCTCCCCACTTTGACTAGGCTAAAAATAAAATTAATATTAACAAAGTGAGGAAGCAGAAAGCCGTCATACTACCGTTGACGCATTATGCTAATAAAGACCTGAAATACATATAACCTTTAAAGCAGATTATAATCACTTTCCAAGACCACACACAGCTTGCTTCAGCTTCTAACTCAAACAAGGCCTTTTGTGATGTAAGGTATTGAAGTTGTGAGCAGGGATTACCATAATCTAATGGCTTCTTTTAATTGCCCAGACAGAAAGCATGAATTTACTCTACCTGCTGTTATTTGATAAAGACCATACACTCATTAATAAGCCTATATTTCCTAATTCTACTTCAATTGTCTGAGTTTGAAAGTAACCACAGAAGACTAAACGCATTCAGATTACTTCTAACAAATTTACTCAACATAATATCTCCAATAACACACAGTAGCAAATGTTGACTATGCAAAATATACAACTATGGAGCACTTAAGCAAAAAAGAGATTATCCTTTATACAAGTTTTGCACTGTAAGCATTTTAGAAATGAACTATAAATGCTACCAAGTTAGCATTAGCACCACAGGCAGATCTTTATTATACTTGGCTTGCAGCTTTATAATTTAATTCTATCAAATTCTGTTCATAAAAATAATAATCTTTAAATTAAAAAAAACAACCACAATAAAAAAACCCCAACCAATGCAGAAGACCAAACCGTGTTCAAACTACTGCTATAAGGTCATTTAAACATAATTCAAATGCTAAAATGATGGAAAACTTTAAAATGTGATTAGACCCATCCTGTTCTTGTCAAGGTTTAGTTGTTCTATGAGTGTGCGTAACTGCAAGCGGCACAGAGATTGGGAATACAGATAAATTGTTCTGTCTCCTCCAACACAAAAACTAAGACGATTATATGCAGCTAACAGATTTAAGATAAAAACAGAGGTGGTTTTTCAGGGAGGTAAGTAATTAAGCTTTGGAACTCCTTGTTACAGCCTGTTGTGAAAGCTTTAGAAAGGTTAAAGGAGACTGAAATCCATCGAGGGTTAATGCATACAGAGACATATTTGACTCACAGTATCTCCGATTCTCAAATTGTTAGAGGCTGAAAGAGTTTCCCAGGGAAGTTTCATTACAGCCCAGCTTTGCTCACATATTTTTCCCTAGATACCAGCATTCAGTTACTGCCAGAGACAGACTAAAAGGCACGTGCTGTCTTAGATATGAACCAGCATAATCAGTTGCATATATTGTGCCTGAAAAAAACTATTTGATTTGGGACTGCACACACTGCACCTCTATACTATTTAATTGTTTGAGTAATTTGGACTTTATTCTTTCTATTGGCTAAAATGATGAATCACTGTGAAGGACCTATTATAAATACAGTCTTCCCTGTTCAGTCTTGGGTTTTTTTTTTTTTTCCCTCTTTCCTTTTCAATGTTGTATCTTGAGGACATTATTAGATTCCTTATGTTAAGACCCTTTGTTCCATACCAGTTGGGCTTGCATGGATTACTCAAAAGACTAACCCACAGTTTGGAAGCTTGGAATGCTGTTTGAATTGGAAGGAAACAGGATGTTGGAGATCAAGGTGATGGAGGACAGTGCAGGAGAAAAGACCTTTGAAGTGGATCAGAAGGTGAGCAACGCTGGCATACTTCCAGAATAGCTCAGAACAGGATATCAAGAGTCTCTATGACACGGGTTCATCTCCTTTTACAAGCTTTGCATTCACCTTTTCTCCAAGGCAAATGTTTTTGGACTGTAATTTCTCTCCACTTGGTATGATTTAATTAGTTTCCCCTTCTTGACAATTCAAACGATGGTCTGGCATTTTCAGTGTTGAGGAAGAGTTCAATTTCCTAGACATATTTACCAGCTCCAACATTTTCATATATGTGCTTGTGTCAATTGCTTGAAATATATCCATGGAAATTTGCCTGTCTGTCAGTGCTTTGCTCTTGACTACAGCTGGAATTTTGTCACTCTGTTGTCCCAGTGGTAGCATAAACTCCAGACTCATGTGTTTCATCAAAACATCTATTGATGCACAGATGAAGAAGGGTCAGAGCTTTGAATGTTTTGTGCAAGTATTTTTCCTGTTCTCTTCCATCTCAGAACATTTTTCCATCTTTTCCTTTACAGACCTGTCTTGAAATTTCCGTAAGTTTTTCTGTACTTGGTGTGTGCAGCTTTTGAATTGCCATCCATGTCCAATGATTTTCCAACAATACCGGTCCACTTATTTTGACTTTGATTATCTGTAATCCATTTCCCAGGTGGAATATTGCATTTATTATTTTCTTTCATTTATGAAAGAGCTGACTCAGTACTTTCCAACAATGCAAGCAATGACTGGTAACATCTTCTACAACTAAACAGCATGATCTTTTCTTGTCCAAGTGATGATGAATAGCAGGTGTATACAACAATATCACATATAGACCAATGTGAAAACTGCCTAGATATTTTCAACTTTCTATGAGTATTGTCTTAATAAAATAATTTTAACTGTCTCTGCAGAAATATAATTATCTGTTCTGCCAGTGAGAAACATGCTAAAAACTGTACAGTTATAGTTGTGATCTGACAACAGATCTTCAAAAAAGCAATGAAGGAAATTCTTGGATTCAAACCTACTACTTACATTCTGAAAAATCTGCCTCAGTGGGGAAGAACCCTGTGGTTCTGGATACTGTGTAAAATCTAACAGAAATTAGGGCTTGGTTTGGTAATGGTACGATTCTACCCCTGATCTTCTCTCTAGAGGATCTGCCTCCTCAAACTATCAGATTTAAGTACAGAAGTTTCATAAGTATCAGGGGTTCTTGGAGAAGTCCTATGTGGATGCAAAGTTTGTGGAGCGGTGTGTCAGGGCACATAACCTCTTGGAGCTCAGAGGGAGAAGGAAAGTTGGCATCTGCTCTGGACCCTTCTGCACAGCCAGTCTTAACTAACACAATTTGCAAATTATTACATTTTTCCCTACTTATTAACTACAGCAGCAGCAACGTAGGCAGAATAAATTGACAGAAACTGGATAATACTATGAGAAAAATCAAGAATTTCACCATATTCCACATGAAATGCTCATTTACAGCTTCTGCCAATAAGGTGGTAGTATAATAGGAAGTTTATAGACTACCCATATGAAGATTACCATTTAACAAGAACCGTATGAGCCAGATACAGCTATCATACCAGATAGGGATTATTGTACATTGAAAGAGGACATATTAAGTGGGATGATTATTTCCTTTTGCTACTTTTTTCAAAATGTCAAGCTACAGAAATATATTCAAACCCACTGTTATACTCACCACAGTTAGCTTCATCTGATCCATCAGCACAGTCTGGATCTTCATCACATACCCACAGTTTAGAAATGCAGTGTTTTGTTGTTTTACACTGGAAATGGTCTGGAGAACAACTGTTTTCAGCTTTAAATAAAAGGATTCAAAATTTAAAAAAAAAATAATTTCTGCTAATATTCAAAACATTAGCATCTGGACATCTCTAGCATCACTTACGTAACATCTGTAAGAAAATGGCATTCAGGTTTATACTGTCTATAACTTTGTCTCCTTTTTATATATTGTTTTACATATAACAGTAAGGTTAAATGAAACTCATAAACAAAGTGTCTTGTGATATTCTTTTAACAACAAATAGAGTTAACATTGATACAATCAAACCACTTTAGTGAGAAATAGTGAGATTTTTTTTTCCTAACTTCCTAAAACCCCAGTTATCGATTCTGAAAGTCAGTTAGTTTGAAGGGCTAAGGCAGCTCTCAATACTTTGATTGAAAAGGTAATCAAAATTATGCACAATTTTGGTGAAGTTCTGTGCTCTCTGTGAAAAGGGGCCATGGGTAAATAGTGTGAAAGGTTCGAAAATTATTTTATTTTAGCAGTTTAGCAGAAGAATTTTTGAATGAATCCTACAGCAAGATAAAGATGCAGCTAACCTTCAACCTATTCTTTCAGGATGCTTTAAGTTAAATCTTGACTGCTTGTCGCGGTTTAGGCCTTTAAAACAGTCACTTGACAACAAAAACCACCCTCAGTGCACTCATGTGATTCTACATCGACTCCCTCACAAGCATGTATGTCAGATCTTACAATTTCTTAAACTCTTATAACTGAGAGTATGTAGGCAAGATGAATGAAGGACATATACCTGGACTGTGGGTAAGCTATCAGGGATCACATACATAAGGATATCTTTAGAGATAAGCATATGTACAAGAGCCTCCAAATTGTTCTAAACTGCATTGAACACAGGTGGAAAACGTTATGACCTATTTTTTGATTATGTTTTCCCTCATGAGTGTTTGTCCCACTTTCACTCAGTGAACTCTGTAAGGTTTTGTTCTGTTGAAAAGCAATCGGATCCTTAATATGATCATTCTCGTTTCTTGGGTTTGGCAAGACGAAAAATTTTAGGTTTGTTAAAGTGGTTGTATTATTTCTTTCATTGTCATGCTTCCATACATAAATTTACATTGCTGGAATGACAAAGCATTTAGACTTGGCTATGCTGCTAACTATATTTATCAAAAATAACACTGATTCTCAGCTAGGACACCTCACCAGGGGATTTCAAAGTGCTTTACAAGGCAGACCAGCATAATTACCCCCGTTTTACATACGGAAAGCCTTAAGTTTGAAATGTGACTTTTTCAAGGTCACTTGAAATATAAAATGAAACAGTGGTAGAGCTGAAAAAAGGTCTGTATCTTAAAAATCCCTGTCTGGTGAAATTAGAATGAAATAGATAATCTCATCTGTTATCTGTCCTGTGACAGGAGCCCAAGTCAATATGAACTTTGCAGCAGACCTACTTAAAACCTCCCCTTTTTATAATCTCCCCAAAGGCAAATGAACAGTTTTCAGAAGCCAGAAGCAAGGTTTTATTAAAATATAAACTAGCACACTTAAATTTCTAAGAGAAGAGAAGCTAATAAAGTCTAGGTAAAACAGAACAGAAATAAAAAATGTATATAATTAACCTCCCCCACTCCCCACTGTGTCTTTGCAGGTGGGTTGATGGCTGAGTTTCAGACAATGCAAAAGCTTGCATTATGTCACAGCAGACTGTCCTATCCCCATTAATCCCTAGGAAGTTTTCAACTCCATCCCCGCTGATCGCGACCCTATCCCTCCCACGGTCCCTGAGCACCGCTGCACTGCAGACTCTGCTGCTCTGATTGCATTTCATTTCTGTCAGCTATAACTCAAAGTTCTGGGAATCTTCCATATAGCACGTGCAGTTCTTTACAACAACAAAAAAACCAATCAGTCTCTGCTATCTTCCACAGGAGTTTACCTGACACCACTTAATCAATTTTTAAAGAAGCGTAACATGCAAACCAACATACTGTCTGTCAGAGGCTACAGCTCTGCTGAACTGTTTGGAAGACGGCCATTAAACATGACCATCAACAAAGCCTTTGTATCCTTAGCAACCCTTTCCTTGGAAAAGGCCACGTTCTTTCCAGAAATGCAGCATCTGCAAACCTTGAGAGAGCTAATTCAGAAAATAGGAACAAGCACCTTAGATCAGCAGTAGATCTTAATAATTAACTAAGTGAAGGACTGAGTGTATTTCAAGAGCGTACCATCACTTAATTACAAAATGATCAAAGACACGAGCTATTCAATACATTTCCATTCTAAATCTGAAAATATTTTCTCTACTTATACCTAAGAAATACGGAGCGAAAATGAATTTACAAAATGATGTTTTAAAGGCTGAGTAAATGGAAATCAAGTTACATAGGCAAATTAATGAAAAGGTACCCAGAGGAAAGAGAATAAAAAAGGCAGAGAACTCCATCAAAAAAAAAAAGGATGTAGAAGGAGCTATGGGTCTACATCTTTTCCAATAGAAGATGTAGAAAAATATCTTTTTCCATTGAATGTCTTGCTGCAAGGCATGGCAGATGAAAGCCTTGGGAAGATGAGTCTTTTGTAGAGGTGGTTAAGAGTGAAATGGATGTTTCAGCCGAAGTCAGAAACCCAATTAAATGCTTGAAAATAATTGTTTGCACACCCCTCTTCTTTGCAATGACTTTTAAAAAAAAATGAAGTTAATAAATGACATTTTAGTTTGTTCTCTTGTATATGAAACATTGCACAGCAAACATGAATTAACTATTTTGTGTATTATTTTACATAGAGGACATTTACAGTATTTTACATATTTGACTTCAGTTCCTTGTTTAAAACCAGCTACAGTTCTCAGAGCAATATTCTCTAAACATAACTTACGACAGTCTCTTTCATCTTCTTCATCACCACAGTCATCCTGCCCATTGCACCTCAGGTTTATTGGAATACACTTCTGATTCTTTGTGCACTTGAACTGCCCTGACAGACACACGTGCGTATCTGTAAGTTAAAAAAACAAAAATATCAAGTTAGAAAGATGAAAAGTTAAAGATTAAAAGATTTAAAAATATAAAGGAGTTTCTTGAAAAAATTTAAAGCATGGCACAAGCTTGAACATAGGAAGTTCCATCTTAACACGAGGAGGGACTTCCTTCCTGTGAGGGTGGCAGAGCACTGGCACAGGCTGCCCAGAGAGGTGGTGGAGTCTCCCACTCTGGAGACATTCCAAACCCGCCTGGACACCATCCTGTGCAACTGCTGTAGGTGACCCTGCTCTGGCGGGGGGGTTGGGCTAGATGATGTCCAGAGGTCCCTTCCAACCCTGACCATTCTGTGATTCTGTGATTTAAATCAGTTTAGCATGTTTCTGAAGTCTACAATGCACATAATCACCTACCACAGTTCAGTTCATCAGAATTGTCCCCACAATCATTCTCTCCATCACAGATAAAGGCTGGAAGAGCACAAAGTCCAGTTCCGCACTGAAAACGTCCTGGCTGACATCTGAATTCAGCTGAGAAAAATGAAAACTGCTTATCAATACTATCAGAGGAGTGGTTAAAGTATCAACAGTGTTGTTCTTCCTCTATGAACTAATCAAAAGAACTTACAAACCTTTGTATTTGCCTCTATAGTCTCAATCTGAGTAGATTTAGGTAACTAAAATGTACACGCACTATTGCAAAATTAATTTCAAAGTCTGAGATTTTGAATTTGCATAACTATAGTTCTACTCTACTAATGATACAGAGTGCAACCCTCTACAGGTTGATGCTTGCTATTAGCTCAACAGAAACTTGCAATTTAGGATATAAGCACTTGAGTTCAAGTCTGCATATAAGAAACTAATCTATCCCACTCGAATTCTATTTCCCGTGAAAGGTCTAACATTGTTCCTTTTCACAGCCACTGCCATTTGAGCAAATGAGCAATTATGCACCTCTATAGTAATATTTTGTATAAACATAGCGTAGCTTAAAATGTAATTTTACGTAGAATGATTACATAAGTTAAAGCTGGCTTCAAAGGCCTCCGCAGCAGAAAAAGAGAACTAATTATAAAATTGTAAAAATACGGGTGAGAGATTTCAATACAAAAATATCAAATGAACCATTACTTAACTGGAAGATTGTAGAACACATAGCAGAGAATTTTGTGTGTATAAGCTTGAGTAAAGAAGGCAAGAATCTTTTGATTTATGTAGAATAATATAATAGCATTGAGGTAGTCACTGACTGGGACTGAAAAATAGCATCATCAACAGATATTACTGTTTATGCATCCAGTACACTAGAAAGGTATTTTTCTAACAAGTAAGTAAACTTGCAGTCAGCTACCATCACAGCAACCATCCTTTGGGATGCTGAAAACAACATCATCATTGACTTCCAGTTGCTGACAATTCAGCCGGAGAATACTACAGTAACCTACTATCTGGACTATGGGAGAGTATCGAGAAATATACTGTATCTGCACCACCTTCAGGACAACGTGTCAAAGTTACACAGGACACACGAACAATGTTCATTGCATAATATTGTTCATACTGGAGGGGTGAGATTTAGCTCTCCAAACTTGCCTTTGACAATATTTATAAAACCATAAAATGAAAATATTTATATAAAACATACGGTGAAAACCACACAGAATCTTTGTAAGAATCACATGGAGAACATTGTTGTTTATCAGGAAATTGCACTAAATAATGAACATAAGTGAATAAGTTTTTAATTCCACTTTTCTATTATATACAAAAATAAACCAAATTAATCTGGCAGAATTTTGTATTTATGTATAAAAATCAGCAATCTCAGAGCACAGCTTTAAAATAAAAATCTTTAGCAAAAAAGTAACCAGGATCAAGTAAAGGTTTAACACATGAAACACACCCTCTTATGATTTTCTGAAGACCTTAAAAGACCCGTAGTAGACATGAGTTAATGAAAGTCTTTTGCAGGCTGGCAAAGAAAAGCCTGTACTCTTTGTAAATCTGACAGAGACGAAGGAAAATAAAACAGTGCGGGAAACAAAAGCATTCAAAAAAATCCTCTGTCTAACATCTATAAAGCATTATATTTGATTTGGAGCCTACTGACAAAACATCTCCGCAGTCATCGACAGTGTCACATTTCCACCAAAATGGAATACATTTGTCAGTTTTACAACGGAACTGTAAAAGGAAGGAAAGAAGGGAGAAAAGCTTTTATATGAATATTTATTTATTTATTTTTAAACAGAAATAGTACAGTTTATGGAAAATTAGATTCACTGCTTAGGTCATTGTTCCATTAATCAACTCTGGCTGTTAATTTTGTAAAACTTATTTTTAAAATATTTTTTTTTTGGACATGTTTCGCACTGAGACTTCCGCTGATACAAATCACTGTAGTTTCACTGACATACAGCGCCCCTGATATAAACCACTCATTGCATTTTGCTGCATTCCGTGATTTGGTCCTTTCAGATCTTATTCAAAACAACCACTCCATTCTCAAACAGTCTTTGTGGGCTCTTGAAGCAGACTTAATATGATTTTCCCAGATAAACACAAACCCACTCACAGTTACATAAAAGGACCTTAATGTGCAGTGTTGTACTGGTATACAGTATTGTTTATATTGTTTGAATTAAATGAGAAAAACAGAAGGTAGGCCTTCCAACCTTGCAAAAGGGTGAAATATTTGTACAAGAAAAAGAAAAAGTCCTTTGTACGACTTCAACAGTGCCTTTACTCTAAGCTCAGGCAACACCGTACCTTTGTTCTGACTGAAAAAGGAACGTGAAACAAAACAAAGAGTAGAAATTACTTGATGCAATCTGCTAGGGCTAAACCTAAAGTCAGAGTTGATTATGTCACTAATGCCAAGGAGAAAAATCCGGATAGATTATCAGCAACTTTTAAGCAATGTTGTGTTTCCTACAACCAGGTTTCCTACCCGGTGTCTATGCAGATACAGAAAGGAAGAAAACCAACAGGTTTAGAAGTCATTTTATTTTTGGTGACTAGGCATATTTTTTTCATTTCTTCATATTTTTAAAATCACCGATTATTCAATAAAGCTGTAGTTAAAAGGTATATTAAATTTGGTGCCTTAGCTCAGTTTCACTGTTTCTGCCAAGAAAACGTAGGGTTTCATGGCCATTGATATAGTAAGACCTAGAGCCGGAGCTATATCATTCTTGTAGCACGTTGAGGGACATGCTCTATAGCAGGTTGGGTCTGAAAGGCAGCTCTTCTAAACTGTTCACCTGTTCCACAAAGGTATGCATCTCAGAGTAGCTCAGCAGAAGGCCTCCAAATATAAAAGACAGACAGAAACTCAGACAATTCTCATTCTTACTATTTGCTGCTTGCTAGCCTAACCTTCTTGCTGCTTCATTGTTTTAAGGTGCCAGCCTTGCTCTGCTCACCACAAGGGACTTCAGGCTCTTCAAATGCCATGATGAATTTCATTCCAGGACATGGGTACTAACTCTTAGATGCTGTTATGCTCTGCATGAAAATGCTTGCACTCCTTTCTAAACCGGGGAGCCAAACACTTCGCAAAATCAGGGGGCAGGGTCATATGGGTCTGCCTGGAATGTCCATTTTCGGCGTTCTAGAGTCTGATGCATTTTGTTCTAGACAATGTCTCACATCCAATTAGCTATCCAAAGACAGCTGAGAGTCCAAAAGACAGCTGAAAGTCGGTAGATGAGCAAAACCAGTCTATCAGCCAAGTCCTTTTCACCAGAAACAGCTAACAGCGGGCATGTTGTCGAGCCCTTACATCACAGGAACAGCTATGATTTTACAGCATCAGCTGAAAATCTTAAGTAGCAAAGTATACATTTTGCCACTGTTCTCTGCCATCAGACTGACGAATTATCAAGCAGTAAACAGATTTCAAAATTGGAAGAAAAGGACTAATAACCAATGTCAACTTGCAACTGTCCATCTGAAGCAGCTTCTTCTATTTAACCCTGCTCTCCCAACTAGGGAATCCACAAGTGATAAAATATCACTCCTGGAGGATCCAAGATGTGATGTTATCCTGTAATTCAGACTACCAATGAATTATTTAGAAAGGAATAGAGCCATTCAATCAACTGTTAGCATATAAATTCATGGCAGAATAACTCTCCAGTGCCATTTAAAGAAAATTTTTTAAAAAAGAAAAAATGCTGTTTTTCAAACCAAATTTAAGAAGCTAGATATGGGGGGAAAATAGGTAAGAAATTCCTCATTTTACAAGTGGTTTACACTTTCTTTTTTGTTCATCACTTAATGGGAAATAACAATCAGACAATCTAAACAGAAAAGATATGATGAACATAATTTCAAGGATGTTAATTAATTGCATATTCTACCATTTTTGTTTCAGCTACTGGACTGTTTAAATGTAACCCTATTGTTTACCTACCCAGCTAACTGGACTGAGCTTGTTTTCTTATATTAATGTAAAGTTTGCTCATGCATGAATACTCCCAAATCATTGTTATATACACTTTGTATTTTTATGTTTCGTATTTTATATGAATGTTTTTGAAAGCAATTTTTATGGGTTTAGTAGCTGTATTTGTTCTAGTGACTGGCAGAAACATCCGCATTTGAAAGGGAACAAGTTCTGCACTCTCTGGAAAAAAGACATTTGCTAATAGCCTTGAAGATGAAACACTTTAAATGCACCGAGAGTTACCTAGTCTTCAGCTCCTTTGACTGATGCTTCCACATTTCAGAGGCACCAGCATTCATTACTTAAAAGCAGGTGGAAACACAGTAAAATATAATCCCCGACGCCTCCTCCCCTCCCTAGGCATGCACTTACCTGGCTGGCCGTGCAGTTCGATAAGCATGTCTTGTTATCCGCAGCAAGGTAAAAGTTAGTGGGACAGGCACAAGTATACATCTTGCCAGGGGCTAGAAGGCATAAATGACTGCAACCACCATTGTTTAGTGTACACAGATGTTTAGACACTGTGGACAGAATAGGAAAAGAACACCAGAGCTTATCATTTCAGCATACTTGAGGGCATCTGCTTTATAGAGGAAGAAAAACGTATTACACATACTATTTTTACAATGGACCATCTCAAATCAAAAAACCTATAAAAGGCAACCTTCTCCTTTTGCCTTTAAGCTATTCTCAGTTGTATGCAAAAATTAATTATTACTATGGATGTAGATCCAATACGGAAAGAATGAGAGGAAGAAAAAAGCACTAGGGTTTTCTATAATGAGACAAAAAATTAGCTTATCTAGGTCAAGTGCCAAATTGTATCCAGTTACAATTCAAATACAGGGACATCAGGAGATCAGACACAGTTGTAATGCCTACATTCTCTGACATTCCCTCAGTCCAACAACTTCCTAAATAAAAGTATTCTTCTGTATTATTAACACTGTCTTACTTTTCAAATAATAAGGTTAAATGTTTTCATAACACACTGTTCCCATCTTTATAACCGGTAACTCATACTGTAATGTAACTTAACAGTTCCGTGCTTCAGTCAGTATCTGGGTTAATTTTTGAGTACCCAAATTGGTATCTCGTCACTGAACATGATGTATCACATTTCTTTAATACCAGATATACTTACAACATTAATAAGAGATTTATGTTTAAAAATGCTAATTTGAAAGCTTCCACAATTTGAAACAGAACAGAAATAAAAATAAATCACTGCAGATAAATGAGTTTCCATTAACTCAGCAACTGCCTACTAAGTGAAATACATCCACGTGCTGTACAGAAAGCATCGACAGAATAATTACCATCAGGTTGCCTATAAGAATGATACACCTGGATGTCTGTTATGGTATGCCATGAGTTAATCAGTGATAGTCTGTCTGATCCAGAGGTTTTGTGGGCGCGGCTGAGTGATTTGGTTTTCCCGTCTGTCCAGTAGATATAGTCTTCAAACAATGTTAGTGCAATCACCCCTGGAATATCTTGATTAGGGACTGTAAGAAAAGATGCTAAGATTAATGTTCACTCTTGGAAGACTGCCAGTTAAAATATTCCATACTGCATGGGTTGACAGATACAACTGCTATATAATGTCTTGAGAATAATTGTCATGACAATATGTCAAGCCTAGAGGGTTCTTTATTACCAGTTACAATAGAGATGGATGGGGTACGAGCTCTGCTTGCTTAGATTTAGTTGGCCCAATCAGTGTTAAGGAAATGATAGAATTTCAGTTAACAAAAATCACCTCCAGGTTCTAAACCAATGATATGTTAAGCTTTAAAGTAGTACATAACATTAATATAATATAACCTCTTCTTTACAGAAGGCCAATATTCATTTGCTGGCTTAGGGGAAGAAAAGTTAATAGAAAACATCCAAAACATAAGGTATACATCTCTAGATGCACTGTGTTTAACACCCTTTAAGACAATTAATAGTACTTTATGTCAGCAAAATATACTGACAAGACAGGAAAAAAAAGGTTTGTATTAAAATAAACATAGCAGTGAGAGGGCTGATTGCTTATTCCTAGTGCAACCAACCATGCAATTTAAAAAAAATAAACAAAGTGCTGATAATACCCCATTATTACAATACCAAAAAATTATGAGCTGACATCAGTTTAAAAAGGATGGAAGGACAAAAGGGAGAAAAATCTTCGAAGCATTCTTTATCCTACTGTACTATCTTTAATCTTGAACTATTTACTCTTGGTAAACATAAACTGAACTCCACTTTTTTTTTTTTTTTTTTTTTTTTGCTTTAACATACACAGCTGTAATCATAAATGCCACAGGACAATATCTGACCACAATGGTCAATTTGCAAATTATAATCTTTTGTCTCTGAATCACTCTTATTATTGATAGAGCTGAAAAGACAGATCAGAGCAGCTGAGTCTGCTATTTTTAACCAGCATATCATTAACACCTTTACCTTGTTTTCTTAGATGAAAATAGCTTAATCTTTTTACTATTTAAGTAATAGTGTTGGCAAATCTCAGATTCCAGTTGGAACATTTCATAGTTCATTGACAACTGATGACTGATATTGAGTTTATGGAATAAGAACTAAGCAAATTCAATTTCATATACAATAGCCTTGCTGATAGTGAACTCTAGCGTAGGGTACGTTGCCTTCTGGTCAAGGAAACCTTGCTTCTTAGAACTGAACTTATTTTCCCTTCTTGTGTATTTACATATACCGTAGCCATCACACTGAAATAACAGTATGATATTCTTATAGAGAGCTTCACATAATTTCTAAGAAATTAGTCAAAGTGCAAAGAAATCTTAATTTTGGCACTCATTACATAGGCAACTTCAACGTGGTTCCTTACATAGTATAGTATCTCCAAGAAAAGCTCTTATCATTTCCCTTACTTGTAGAACCACATTGTGAAGAAAAAGTGAAAAAGAAGTGAATCACTCCCCACGGCGATTTTTTGCTATCCTGTTCCTCTGAGCGAGGAAGGGAAGAATTTTTAAAGTACCATTAATTTCAGTTTTGCCACCAAAGTAACAAATCAAGTACAACAAAACAAGCATACAGGAACTGTAAGTACAGGTATTTCCGTTATATTGATTCTTTTTCCTCTCTCCTCTTTTTCCTTATTTTCTCACCACTGGATTTATCAGAATAAATTGCCAGAAAAACCTCCCAGATTCAGGAAGACACCCAAAGGCTAGAGCAGGGTTTGTCTGGCCACTGGAAGGCCTACATGTATTATCACCTAATTATATATGAAGACTGAGTTATATTAAACTCAGTACTTTTTATTTTAGGTAGATTATAAACACTTGCTATTAAAAGTTTTCTTGTAACCTTTAAGTTATATGATTGCGCCACAGTACAAAACTTAAAAGACAAACAGGAATTTTAGGTACCTCTGCAAAACTGCAGGAAATTCCCCACTGATCTTAAAGGGCAGTTTCTAATGAGAAATACAAACCAGGCTGACAGAAGAAGCAGGAAGGAACAGCAGAAAGAGAAGTGCTACTCTGAGCAAAACCCTGAAGCTATCCATAAAGCTATTTATTTTACTTTTGCTTCACTTCTGGAAAAAAATATCTGTTCATATAAATTATGACCCTTGCTGCTACTTTTGACATCAAATTAAGGATGTCTACGATACCATTCCAGTCTTTCCAAATAAAATAAATGTGTTTTTTTTCCTTGTCTGTTTTCTCTTATTCTGATCACAGTTAAGATTAAAATGAGAATAAATGGGCCTGCAAAAGCCTTAATGCACATGAAAAGGATTTACATCGGAAAATTATTCTGATTTGGTGATCTTTACCATTCCCCACAAACGAAAAATAGGTCTAGCAGTGTTCCTCTTTTTGGCCATGCAGGAATTACAAGTAAACACTATATCCTGAGTATAGATGTATGAGTAAATGCTTACTTTTGTTTCTGTGTGCTTAAAAACAAAACCACAATATCAAACACAATGCAACAAATACTATACTCTTTTTTATGTTCTTTAAGAAGTATGACAGAGTGTACCTGTTCCTAAAAACCTAAAACCTTTTTTCTAAAAAGTTGAAACTCTCAGTGGTTTAAACACTCACAGATTAGGACTGTAGTTTGTCCTGCCACTATTTCTGATTTCTGAGTAACTTTATAATTTCAATGGGCTTCTGTGTTTAAGTCAATTTTTCATTACGTAATGTTCAACACAAAATTGACCAAAGTTCTTTCAGAAGCTTGCACTGTTTATAGCTGAAAAACCTAGAGAAAGTTCTAAAAAAAACCCCAAAACAATTAAGGAAGCAATGAATGCCTGTGTCAAATAAAATAGTACAAATATATAAATGTAAATAAAAATATATGTAAAGTAAAACACAGAAAATAAGTATAGCATCAATGGATGCAAATACTTCTTATAAAAATTCCAAGCTAACTATAACAATTTAAAAATTCTTAGAAAATAAGAATTAATCATAATTACATAAATATAAAAATCTTATAAAAATTCTTCTAAGCTGACCATAAAACTCAATGTATTTTCTTCTGGTTGATACATCTGTAAAGACTGAGAGAAGTTTCTGAAAACAGGCATCAGCTGAATTGTATTTTTCTTTAACTTTTAGTATATTACGAAGACTGGAACATCAGAACTGTTGATGTAATAGGTTATAAAATCCACAGGTCACATCAACTGTGAATGACCATAAAAAACGAACACAAAAATGTAAGGGAGTTTTTACATCTTATTTTCTGATCGAACAGTAAAATAGTCTCTCACACTCTTTATTCTTTGCCTTTGAGGACATCAGCTTTCCAAAGTTTCAGGTGGTGACAGCTATTAATTTATCATAAATGTATGTAGTAGAAAAAACACCCACTTTTTTTCTTCAGTCTTTCCTTTAACTTCACGAGAACTTTAGCTGCATTACTGATCTACCTCTTCATAAATGGCATACATTAGTTATACATTGCAATACTAATTACTAACCTCACAGCATACATTATGGTGTGAATCACAGTTTTAAACAAGGAAAGCAAGACTAATCGCTCTCCTTTCTTTGGTAAATTCTCTGAAAATGGACTACTTCCTACAAAATCAAAGTAAAGGCACGTTAGTCATAACTGGTAAGTAGCTCTGCTTCTGCATCACCTTTTTGAAAATATTTAATTAAGATGTCTACTTGACAATCCATTAGTAAGAAAATAATATGTTCTGTTAAACAAAAAAACTACATTATACCAACATAAGGGTCAGATCTCCACCAGCAAATTCATGGAGAATTTAAATAGTCGTATTTTAACACACAGCCACGAGAACGGCACTCACTTGCTATTAATTACCTACATTTCAACGGATATTTTTTTTTTTCTTTTAAGGTTTCTCATAACAATGTAGCCTCTATGAAATGTTCAAAAAGTGGGTTGAAGCAAATTGAAGCCCAATCCATATCTCAAAACACTCTGCAAGAATAACTAATAAAACACTCCACATGCAGATCAACAATCCACCAGACACAGTTGTAGCAGTCTCTAAGTATTTTACTAGACCAGTACTTACTACACGTGCTTTTTTACCCTCATTGCAAGAACATCAAATCCTGAAATAATCCATTGTAACCCATGCGTATTACTTTTCTCTCAGATGAAGAAATCTCAACACCTCTAACCGAAGTGCGGTTCAATCAGAAAAGGGATAATTACCCAACCACCACAGGCCTCGGACTCCATCATCATGGCCGGGCACCCCGGCCAGCTGCTACAGAGGAAGGGAAGAGGTGAGAAGTGCTTTTAGCCCCTTTCATTAATCATTGCCTGAACAGTATAACTCAGCTGACTGCTTCCACTGAGTCCCAAATAGTTATTTCAGTCACTCAAGTTTCTTGCAGCTGATGATCCAGCACATCTCAGAGCATGTACACCAGTTTCCATATACTGCAACATACACCGTGTCATATATGAGTAAAAAATGCTCTACCTTGTGCCAGCAAAAGAATCTTATGAATTCACACTGATGCTTACTTTGATTTTCAAGGCCCTGCTCTTCTTATTTGTGTAATAAAATGCATTATGGGGGCATATTCAACAACTTACTCAACAATTATGAGGGACAAAAAACATGGAATGCGAAATCACCACCCCAAGTAATTTCTGAAATTCAGTTTTGTGACTCCTTTTCCTACCAGAGATGGATGAGTCCCTTGCAATCCCTCCTCTTTTAACAGGCCTGCTACTGCCACCTCTAGCTCTCTACTGGGGTTTCAATGTTATACGTAAATCATGGATTCTCTTCCACTGAATGCTAATCCCAAACAGCGCTTGACCAAACAACATGAAGATGAGAAATGTGATAAGAAGGAGAAAGCAGAAAAGAGAAGGGAATGCACATGCCTATCAGAAAGCTGCAGAAAACAGGAGGAAGAAACACAGGTGGGTAGTAAAAGGAAAAAAATCGAAAGCTTGCAAGAGTCAGAAACAGTAGAAAATAAAAATTATTAGATACTTGAACACAAATAAAAAG